TGTATTTGGGATTTACTTTTAAAACATTCCAGAAAAAGAAGGCGTTTGGGAGATACATGAAAAATTGGCAAATATTGATAATTATTAAAGCAGGGTGATGGGTACATCATCATACTATTCTCTCCAGTCTTGTGTATGTTTGAAATTGTCCATAATAAAAAAATAAAATAAAAATGAAAAAGAAATTCACAAAGAAATGGGAGAAAGGAAAAGGTTGCATGGGACTGGCTGTACTTTTTTGTGAGCTGATTGCAGAAATAAAATGTTTTATTTATTGGGTACTAGCCCCTCTTGGAGGGGCACAGATACAGAAGCCAGGTTCCTGAACCCTGCTGACTTTCCCAGGCTGTCTGCAGTGAGGCAGAGCCAAAAGGCCTGGGAAGGGAGGTGGGGAGGTGGGACCAGGGTGAGAGCAGCCAGTAGCAGGAGTGGCAGGGCCTGGGGGTTAAAGCACGAGAGAGGCTCAGAAACATGCTGGCTGACCAGAGACCCCTCTGCACCCAGCTGTCTCCTTGATACTCTCCATCTTCAGTGTGGCTAGCCTACAAGAGCCTCTCATAGCCATGATCATGAGAGTTCTTGTTGTCAGCTGCCAAGGGCTTATGATCCCTCCCTACCCTTAACAGCTTTAATGAGATACAATTCACATGCATAAAATTCACCAACTTAAGGCGTACTATTCAGGTTTTTAGTATATTCACAAAGTTGTGCAACTATCACCACATTCAATTTTAGAACATTTTTTTTTTTTTAAGATTTTTTTTATTGGGGAATTGGGGGGATGGGAACAATGCTGGGGAATTGGGGGAAGGGGAACAGACAAGTTGCTGTCGTTTTGTTCTTCAGTCTAGTTGTGGAGGACGTTGCTTCACTGGCCCAAGTTGGCACCAGCATTGCGCTCTTCCTGGGCAAGGCAGATGAGTCGCCGGCTTCTGGACGGCCGCTCACGCTGGCTGCTGGCCGCTCACGCTGGCTGCTGGCTACACACGGTAGCCCATGGCAACCCACTGCCACAGGGGCTGCAGCCTATGCCGTCGCCGGCAACTCACGGGCAGCCCAGCTCCAGGTTGAGCTGTTGTTCAGCATCTTAGCTGTAGAGGGCAGTGTCACTGGCCCTCATATGTGGGATCCGAACCGGGGCCCTCTGGCGTCCCAAGCCAGTTCTTAACCATCGCGCCACTCGGCCGGCCAAGAACATTTTCATTTCCCCAAAAAGAAACCTGTACCCATGCACCATCACTCCCCATTCTTCTACCCCCAAGCCCTGGAAACCACTAATCTACCTTCTCTATGAATTTGCCTACTCTGGACATTTCATAAAATATAGGATCATGTATGTGGTCTTTTGTGACTGGTTTTCATTTAGTGTTTTCCAAGATTCATCCATGCCGTAGGTTGTTAGCTCTTCATTCCTTTTTATTGCTGAATAATATTGCATTGTATGGACTTACCACATTTTATTTAGTATTCATCAGTTGATGGACATTTGGGTTGTTTCCACTTTGGCTATTATGAAAAAATGCTCGATGAACATTTGTGTACAAATATTTGTGTGGACATACGTTTTCATTTCTCTTGGGTATATTATATATCTATGTAGGTATGAGTGGGATTTCTGGATCATAAAGAAATGTTATGTTTAACTTTTTGAGGAACTACCAGACTATTTTCCAAAGTGGCTGCACCATATCTCCTCTTCACAAATGGACTGAAGCCCAGAGAGGGGAAATGCCTTATGCAAAACCACACACTAAGTTAATGCTAGGAAGCAGGAGCTAATCATCTAAATGATCTCAACTCCACCCCCACTCTCCTCTGACCTATTATCTCACTGTCACCCTAACACCTTCACACCCACTTTACACCTCCATTCCTTTCCCCACCCAGCAGCAAATCCGTTTATATCAGTCCCTCACAAAAGCTACCCTGCTGCCAGGTAAGAATCAAGTTCTCCTCTTAGGGGTGATTTACAGGGTCCCTGCCATCTGGCCCTGGTCATGGCATCATCTTTTTTAAAGTAGCTTTTCTGAGATATAATTAACATACCAACCATTCACCCATTTAAAGTGTACAGCCCCATGCTTATGACTTTTTATTCTTTACACTTCAGGGTCACTCAAGCCTTATTTCAGTTTCATGAAAACACCTGCCACTTTTGCTTTTGGGGCCTTGCCCACAGTCGCCTCTGCTTGGAATAGTCTTTCCTTATATATTTCCTTGTGATCCTTCACATCTTAAGATGACACTTCTGCTAGGAAGCCTTCCCTAACCACCCAGTCTGGTCAGATGACTTGCAGGACATTCCCACGGTCCCCCTCAGATCACCCGTCATGGCATGGGACACAGTAGTCTGAGCCTTTAAGGTCTGGGAATATGGCTTATTCGTGTGCACTGTTTGTTGAGTGAATAGAAAAATCTGAAAATATCTAGCACGGCACTGGGCATATTGTAGAAGTTAAGGAAATGTTCGCAGACTTCACTGCCTACGAGGACAGGGGTAGTACTTCCTTTTGGGAACATTTCAGACAGTTTGGGTGATTAAAGGGTAGTGCTTCCTTTAGGGAATCATTCTTATCCCACCTTCAATCCTTGTAGTTTAGGCGGGGTTAAGCAGTTCTTGGAATTTGCACATGACCCAAATCAGGTCCATTATCCTTCTACTGAAAAATTTCAGAAAGGGGTGCTTTCTCTTCACTGGGTTACTGAGCTGGTGTTTCCATGAAAAGACAGACTGCCTGAGAATAAAAAAAGCAGATTTGAGAAAGGCACTGAGTCCCGATGACATTATCTGAGGCCCTGCATCCAGCTGTACCCTGCATCCAACAGACCGTTGGACATTTTAGTTATGGAGCCAATTTATATTCCTTTTTAAAAAAAATTGCTTAAGCCAGGTTGAGTTCAGTTTCTGTCACTTGCAACTGCAATTACTACTTACACAGTAATCCTCCATCTTTCACAAACACACGTCCAAAACACTCCTTACAGTCCAGAGGGACCACACTGCTTTTTGCCCCCAAGTACAAGTTTACTTATTGTCCTCAAATTTGCCATCATTGTTTTTCTGAGTTGTGTTGTGTAGTCGACTGTCAATATTTAGCCTTCCATACCATGATCAGGAAGTGGACATTTCAGATTGTCCTAAATGCTTCCGGGTGATAAGTCCAGGCTGATGGAAAAGGTCAAACACTCCTTTTGTAGTTTGGCCCAAACTGAACTCCAGGAAACACCATGAAAAGCATCGCTCCCTGAATTTGTGTGCTGGTTCTGTGAAGAGCCTGCGAAAACAAATTTGACTTTTCCTTAACTTGCTGGTGCCAAGGACCTGTGCATTCACCACCAATATGATGGGTCAGAAAAGTTTCAAATTTTACCCACCCAACTCCGCTACGCGGAAAAAGACAAACTGTACGTAGGGGAAAGAGGCAGAATGAAATGCTGAGGATGCCTTGTAGGAACCAGGGTGACATCACTCAATCACCAGTCACTTACTGCATTCCAGCCCAACTGGACCTTTCCGTATATAGCACGCCACTCCCCACTTCTGTAGGGTGCGATGAACTAGATATTTTAATCTGCAGGCCTTTGCTAGTTCTGTTCCCTCTGCTTGGGGTGCCCCTCTGCATTACAGAACTCTTTCAAGGCCCATGTCAAAGGTTAGCGGTCCTGTGAATCCTTGATCCTTTAATATTTTGTTGAAGCAACTATTTTAAATATCAGCATTCTTACCATAGGTCACTCTGAATAGGCTTTGGAGGATCTATCAGTACCCCTGGGGGTTACCTGAGAAATCTGTGTGTCTGTGCCCATATCTGTTACTCTGGAGAAGAGGTCAGAGCTTCCACCACATTCTCTAAGAGATTCTGTGACTCAAAGAAAGATTAAGAATCACCAGTTTCTTATGTGTCTCATGAGTTCATTGAGGGCAAGGACTGCACCTTTTTCACCTTGGACTCCCCAGCACCGCTCCACAATAGACACTCATAACCGTTGTCAGAGGCTGTTAGTGACCCAGAGAGACAACCCTTTTACGGCAAAGAACAGAAAACAGGATGGTTTAATCTGCAGAGTCAAGAGTCGTTTGTTCTTGATTACAGCATTCAACATGCAAATTATATTCACCTCTTAGTACAGAAGTGGCACCCTGCCACTTTTCCTAGGAGTTAATCCAGACAATTATTCCTGGGCAACCCTTAACTATGTCTGCCAGCAATCGCCCCCTCTCCCTTCTTACAGCAATACATAAACTCTCTCTTATGCAGAATAACTGGGAAATGCGGTCTTTCACTTAACTGAGTAACCATGTACAGTACAGCGCCATTGATTTGTCAATGGATTTGATATATTCTGAAATCCAGATCAAGACCTCACATTATTTAACCAGTCTCTGATGATCCCAAAGGCACTTGAGAATCCGGCAGTGGCTCATGGTCACTGATTTTCGCTGGACAGTATTATGAGATAGAGAAGGTTTGCTAAGTCTGTCCTGGCCCTGGGTATTCACTCTGAAAAGAGTTTATTTGAATAAGGTTTTGACACATTTGCTCTTTATGTCATTCTATAGGCTCAAAATGAACAACAAAGGGAGCTTCACTTTGCTCATCCATAGTTCCTATGTTTTTAATAATGAAAATGTATTATTTATGTAAAGAAAGTTATAAAAATACTAACCAGAAATTAAAGGTAAAATGCAGGGTGTTTGGATACCAAGAAAACAGGAGTCTACTGTGGTTAGAAGTCAGGCTGACTACACATAATAATTAGGTATAATTGACAATGCCTTTTCCAAGACTGTATTTTTGTAAAGTTTCATATATTATCACTACCTTGAGTTTTCTCCCTTTCTCTGACTTCATTACTAGAGTCACCAGATGGAAAATTTTAAATGTTTTAAAAAGAGCTGTTTCTGGGTAAGTCACCCAAGCAGACACTCCTCGTATTTCCTCTAGTTTCAAACACAACGGGAACTGGCGCAGACAAGAGTGATGCTTGCCGCACACCTGCCAGCTGACGCATCCTCTGTTTATTCCGAGAGGCTCCTGCTCAAATGAAAGTTACAAGGGTAAGTGCTTCTCTGTGTTCCTGACACAGCTAATCCCTGCTTGGTCTTCAAAAAATAGATGTCTGTAATTCCTTTTTAAACATGCCTTCGAAGTGCAGGTCTTTGGCCATGAGCTCCTCTTCAACGTCATCTAGCGCCCACTGGTGATCTGTCAGCTCCAAAGCTTCCCACTCAGTCTGTAAAGGAAGAAAACACCAGGGCAGGGAGAGGAGGGCTATTACAAAGAGCAGTGCTGACCTATCGTGAGCACCTACGTTGGGCCAGGAGCTGAGTTAAGCTAGTTACATGTACAAGCTCATTCAATGCTATGAGGTGGGTGCTGCTATCTGCCCTGTCCACTCCCACCCCCAATTTACAGACAAGGAGGCTGAAGCTAAAAAAGGTAGAATGTTTGTTCAAGGTCACTGAAGCTAGTAACTAATTACATTTCTCAAAGTTTATTAATGCGAAGTACTTTGCTTTAATTAGTGGGCTTTAAAAATATGTTTATGAAATTTAACATGCAATACAAATGTTAGCACATGGGTAGTTTTAAAAAAATATATAATTCACATAGCATAAAATTCACCCTTTTAATATGTACAATTTACTGGGATTTAGTATATTCACAAAGATGTACAACCATCACCACTACCTAATTCCAGAGCACTTTGATCACCAGAAAAAGAAACTCCATATCAAACAGCAGACACTGCCCATTATCCTCCTCTCCCAACACCTGGCAACTACTACTTTACTTTCTGTATTCCGGATTTATCTATTCTGGACATTAATATGTGGCCTTTTGTTACTGGTTTCTTTCACTTAGCATGTATTCAAGGTTCCTCCCTGCTGTAGTATGATTCAGTACTTCACCCCTTTTTATGGCTGAATAATATTCCATTGTATACACTCCATTGTCCATATACTCATATACCAAACTGTTTTGTTTATCTGTTCATCAGATGATGGACATTTGGATTGTTTCTACTTTTTGACTATTATGAATAGTGCTCTGAACATTCTTGTGTAAGTTTCTGTGTGTAATTACATTTTCAATTCTCTTGGGTTTTTACCTAAGAGTGGAATTGCTGGGTCATATGGTAACTATTTTTAACTTTTTGTAAAAAGGCTAAAAACTGCTTTCCAAAATGGCTTCACCACTACCAGCATATATGAGGGTTCCAATTACTGTACATCCTTGTTAACACTTGTATTGTCCATCTTTTTTATCGTAACTATGAGGAGTGAGTATGAAGTGGTATCTCATTGTGGTTTTGATTTGCATTTCCCTGATGGCTAATGATGTTGAGCATCTTATTCATGAGCTTATTGGGTATTTGTATATCTTGTTTGGAGAAATGTTTACTTAAAACTTTTGCCCATTTTTTTTTTAATTGGGGAATTGGGGGGATGGGAACAGTGCTGGGGAATTGGGGGAAGGGGAACAGACAAGTTGCTGTCGTTTTGTTCTTCAGTCTAGTTGTGGAGGACGTTGCTTCATTGGCCCAAGTTGGCACCATCATTGCGCTCTTCCCAGGCGAGGAAGATCAGTCGCCGGCTTCTGGACAGCCGCTCACTGCGGCTGCTGGCCGCTCACGCTGGCTGCTGGCTACATACGGTAGCCCATGGCAACCCACTGCCACAGGGGCTGCAGCCTACGCCATTGCCTCATGGCAGCCCAGCTCCAAGTTGAGCTGTTGTTCAGCATCTTAGCTGTGGAGGGCAGTGTCACTGGCTCTCATATGTGGAATCCGAACCGGTGCCCTCTTGCGTCCCAAGCCAGTTCTTAATCATCGCGCCACTCGGCCGGCCCAACTTTTGCCCATTTTTAAACTGGGTTTTCTTTTATTGTTGAGTTCTAGATTCTGAATACTAGAGCCTTATCAGGTATGTGATTTGCAAACACGTTTTCCAATTCTGTGGGGTGTCTTCATTTTCTTGATGGAGTGCTTTGAAGTACAAAAGTTTTCGTTTTGACAAAGTCCCATTTATCTGTTTTTCTTTTTGTTGCTTGTATTTTTAATATCGTATATAAGAAAGAAGTCATTGCCTAATCCAAGATCACAAACACTTACACCTATATTTTCTTCTAAGAGTTTTATAGTTTAGGTCTTATATTTAGGTCTTCAAATCATTTAGGTCTTGTTCCTGATCTTAGAGGAAAAGATTTCAGTATGATTATGATGTTAGCTGTGGGTTTTTCATAGATGGCTTTCAAGATTAGCAAGTTCCCTTTTATTTCTACTTTTTATGATGAAAATTAGTGTGATTTTGCTGTATAAAAGTTATACCAGATTTTATCAATTCCAAAATCATTTCATGAAAAGTCTCTAAGTATTGATTTTTAAAAAAAAATGAAATTTATATCTGATATCTACAGGATCTAAAAAAGTTAAATATTCCAAATGCTTATCTAGTGCCTCTGATGGACTGTTTTTACAGCTTCATTTACAGTGTGGATTAAATTTGGGTGAGCATTTAAAACCAGTGAAAAGTACCAAGAATCTCCAATTTACTTAACAGGTGATTCTCTCAGGAATAAGAGACATGTAAACCAAAATACATTTTTGCTAAATTTAAATCTAAACGATAAAACCATACATACTACACTCCCGTCAGTGAACCCATCTTTAAAGCAACTCTCTAGTAATGCCTTCCGGAGCTTCAGTAAAGCTGGAAGAAGTGAGTGTACCTTGAAAGCTTTGTTGGTGTCCGCGGGCATGGCCATGGCTGCTCCAGTCATCTGCTCCTGCATCATCCGTGACTGGTCAGCAGCTGTGGAGTAAGACATGCCTGCATGAGTGCTAGGGCTCAGCAAGCACCCAGCACCCTTGGGGAAGAACAGTCCTAATACAGTGCTTACAGATGGCTCAATAGTGAGTTACAAAACCATATGACAGATTCACTGACTGGCCCTGTCTCACACTGACACTGGGAAAGTCGTTTTACCTCTCCTGAAGAATGGAGATGATAACAGCAGGAGAAGAAAGATAAAGGAAGCACTAAACTTTATTTCAAATTTAAATAATAACAACAGTCACCAGTTATCGAGCAACTACTATATGTCAAGTACTTCAGTAAGTGCTTTACATATTCTACCTCATCCACTCCTAACGACAAACCCTGAAGTTAAATTTTTTTTTTTAAAGATTTTATTGGGGAATTGGCGGAGGGGGAACAACGTCGGAGAATCGGGGAAGGGGAACAGACAAGTTGCTGTCCCTTTGTTCTTCAGTCTAGTTGTGGAGAATGTCGCTTCACTGGCCCATGTTGGTATCATCATTGCGTTCTTCCCGGGTGAGGCAGTCGCTCGCTGGCCATTGGATGGCAGCTCATGGTGGCTCACGAAAACGCACACCAGCTGCCAGCCACCCCCACTGCAGCCTATGCCATCGCTGGTGACTCACAGCAGCCCAGCTCCAGGTTGAGCTATTGTTTACCATCTTAGCTGTAGAGGGCGCAGCGTCACTGGTCCGCATGTGGGATTCGAACTGGGGCCCTGCTGCTCAGAGCTGGCATCCCAAGCCAACTCTTAACCAATGCGCCACTTGGCTAGCCCCTGAAGTTAATTATTAAGGTCCCTATTTTACAAACAGAGGATCGGAATGATTAAGTAACTTGCCCGAGGTCCCAGCCATTCAGACGGCCAGGACTGGTACTGGCAAGCACTCCAGTCAATGAACTAACTGATCTAACCAGGGATTTTTTTCAGCTTCAGGTTTACAGGCTTACATTGCTGGTGCTGGACCCCTCACATGAGGATATCAGACTTTGAGGGACTACATATTGTCTCCATGATTGCCAGGGAGAATTCAGATCTTCAGTTTGACCCTGAAATTTTTAAGACTGTTTCAGAATACCTCAGAAACTTAAGAACAAGTTTAAAGAATGAAGCACTGTATTTGACTATGCTAACAAATAGCATAGTTTATGTGATTTTTCTGACTTGGCTTGGATGATTCATCTATTAAAGTACCTGCTTATTAAACCTGATGTACTCCTTACCATTATCTTGGCCCAGAATCAGAGAGTAAATGCTCCGAAGCCCAAAGACATTGAGGAAGTACCAGGATGCAGAACTCACCCTAAAAAAAGCAAAAGTGAAACAATGTAGGTAGTTATGTCAGAATTAACAGTACTTCACACTTTTCTACCACCCAAAGTTGTTCAGAGTATGTAAAAAACTCACCTGGGATAAGCTATATTCAGTCAAAGCACAACCAAAGAAGAAATACGAGTTGTGAAGGGAGTCTTAAAATAGTTACAGTTCACTGTAGGCAACTGCTACTTACAGCTATGTAATAAATTCTGGCTTCAGTAGCAGGAACTGAGCTCACAACTGGTGTGCTTCCATTTAATCAGGGAATATAAGCTTTGTTTTATTTAATTTTCCTTTCTACATGATGAGTTTTTAAACCCTTTGTTATTTTAATTATAAAAACAATACTTACTTGTTATATATAAAAAATGCAAACAATACGGAAGTATACAGAATAAACTTTAAAAGAGGCCACCTGACCTGAATCCCATTCTCTAGAAAAAAATCACAAGTGGTCATGGGTTTCACACTTACAAGAAAGGATGAAAGGTGACTTTCATGAAATACTTGCAATATTGAAGACTGTAGCTATTGGGAAAGCCACTCCAAGTTCTCAACCAAAGGTTAGGTTTCTCACCTTGCCCCCATAAAATAAATATGCTCAGATATAATAAAAACTAAAAGGAGCATGAGAAATGATACAGACACAGAAAGAATCCACACTTCATTCTAATACTTGGATCACACAACAGCAGGGGTCTATTCTGGTTACTCCATCAGGTTGCAAGTAAGTCAACCGCCTATCTGTACATAGTGTTGCAGATTTATATCTAACAGTAAGTTAGCTGTATATCTGCCAGTTTTAGATTTTTGTTTGTGTTTTTATTAAACAAAAGAAAGTTCTTACCAGGATGCATCTAATGTAAGTAGTTCGATTCCTTGCTGTAGCATAGGCTTAAAACGGAGAGTCAGTGGAAATGGGACCTTGGCTGCAGAGAAGGAAGAAAAAGTTCACAGTCACTTCTAGCTTCTTTATTTTTAGAATAAAGTGTGAATGTATATATTCTTTCCCTGAGGAGGTGGGAACTCTGTGCCATACAGAGTTTGGTAAGAGTTCCATAAGGAAATTTGTGTCACTTTCTGAAGAAATAACAGTCAAATGTCACTCTGTTATAGTTCCTTGAACAACACCAGCTTCTCTATTGCTTAAGAAACAGGGACTCAAACTGTGCCATGACCTAAAAGCTCAAAAGAAACTAGCACTAATTTGTTAAACCTGAAGTGGAATATATACACACACAGAACTACATTACTAAGAAATCAAATTAATTCAAATCAAATCACCTTATAAACAAACGACTCACCCCAACACCTAGAAAATGAAGTCAAAATAGAAATGGGCTTCTCTTCATCCTATTCTACTAGAACACTAAATTAGTTTTGGATACAAACTAGCAAGCCACTCATTTGAAACCCTATTATTAAAAAAATTCCACAATTTTAGCTTAGAATCAGTTTGTGGTACGAGCCATAAAATCATAGCATATAATTTTTTTTGGTTCAAAGAATGTTACCAGTTTTCACTAGAGAACACAGGACCCACGATGTTAGTATCTCAGCAGCACTTGGGTTTCTCTGAGTAGGGACAAGGGAAAGGTGCACCGATGAAGTAAACCTCAAGTCTTCTTGGTCTGTAACTTACTTGTGACAAAGCCTGAAAATGTCATGTTGATCCATCCACCAATAAGAATCATAGGGAGAACATTTGTTACATTGCCTTTCATCATGTCTGTGAGCATAGTGGGATCTAAGACAAAAACACAAGAGACCACTACATTTTAATACTGTTGGCAGGGACTTCCTCCAATTTTCTGTAAATTTTTAATTTATTTGATAATTAAAGTAATACAAGTTCATTGTAAAAAATCAAAATGACATAAAAACAGGATGTAGACAGTTCCTCTGGGCTCACTCTCTAAACAATTTTAATTGTTTGTTACATATCCTTCCATCTGTTTTATTTACATACACACATACACACACACACATACACATACGCACAACAGTTTCTCTCTCTATATACACAATAGAGGGATGCTATGCTTACTATTCTGCTTAATTTAAAAAAAAATTAATGTATTATGAATGGTATTTCCACATTGTTACAATGTCTCTCATTATTTTCAGTGTCTGCATAGGAGTCCACAATGTGGTTATAGTCATCACTGTTGAGTGGACCTTTAGATGTTTCCAATTTTTTCTCTTTGCCAACAAACAATGCTGCCAACAATGACCTTGTACATAAATAAGCATGTTTATATAAGTGCTTCTGTAAGAGAAACTCTTAAAATTTCTAGGTCAAGGGGTTTGAACATTTAAAATGGACAGATATTGTCAGACTGTCTAACAACAGTGAGAGGGCCCAACTTCCCATGACCTTGACTGCAGAAGCTTTGGTCAAGCTTTTCAATCTTTGACATTTGATGAGCTAAAAAAAAAATCTTGTCTTAATTTGCATTCCATAGATTATAGTGAGGTTAAGTATCTTTTCATATATTTATTGGTGTTTTGTTTCTTGTAGGTCTTCTAAAAGACTTATTAAAATCAAGTCTAGAACTTTATGTCTGGGTTTAAAATTGTTGGTTATCTCACCTAAAGAAATGGGTATTAAAGTGAGAGAACAGTCAACACACAATAATAAATTATTCTGTTTTACTTCAGTGATGCTGTATTTATCACATGGCTGGTATCAGTGGAAGTTAAGAAATTTATTAGAGCAAAAATGGTACGGTGGGCCAAGCAATCATGTCTGACAAAGAAATGGCTGGTCTGGGGTAATGAGAGCTCCTCCCCATTCAGGCAGAAACTGGGTGACCATCTGTCAGCAACAGGAGCCAGGCACTGGGTGGGACTGGAATGTTTTTCCAGCTGTGCTCCACAGAGCTCTGGGTCCTGAGGAACAGCAAAGGGGAGAGACCCAGGCACAGTGGCTTTAGTTTCCCCAACCCCTCAGCCAAGAGCTCTTATTTTTCATCCACGTTATACATTGGTGTTCCCGGAAGATTTATTTGAAAAAGAGAACTCCACTTCTGCAGATCCCTGTACTAGATGATCTCTAAGGTCCCTTAGATTATCTTCTACAATTTAACAATTAAATCAAACAACATTCTTCCTGTCCCTCCCACCCCCACTCATGTTAAAAATTTTCCTCAAAGATGAGAGAAGGGAATAAACATACCAGTCATAGGAGAAGGAGGCACTACCTTCCTTTTTGTTTTTTTGAAAAATCCATCCTCCGGATTGTTGAAGTAATATTTTCGTGTCAAGAAAGACTAGTAGAAAAAAGAGCTTTTTAAGTCTTAAAACTGTGACATAGCAAATTGTCAAATTATTCCCCCGAGGTTTATTCAAAAGGCCCTTGGAATATGCTGTTACACTCAGAGCTGGCAGCCTAGTTGGCAGCCAAACTGACATTTTAGCTGAGTCACATTTAAAAACAATTTCCTAAGAAAGGCGAGGTCACAATGACAGCAAACACCACCAGGCCAGTTTAATTCCCGACTTGCCAGCCTTCAGTTTTCCCCAAAGGATCCCCTTATAAAACATTCAGATATCTACTGCCCTCAACAGTGAATTGTGGGGCTTTTAATAAAAGATAGATGAGTACCTGTTTGGGAATGTATTTTCCATTTTCCCTGAGGACTCTGCTTCGAATTAGGACTTGACTGAAAAATACAACCCAGACAATGAGATTTTTAAAAGCGAAACACTAGAAGAAAATGAAAGAATAAAGTAGGAGACCTATTTAAACACAAGAGAGGGCCTATTTGGCAACAGTCTTATGCGGAAACTTTTCAAACCACAAGTACCCTTAAAACCAATCTAACATATTTAACCACAAAATCAGGTTTTCAAAAGAGCATGTTTCAGAAGTGACTGTTTCTGAACAAAGAAATATTTCTGAGGAAGGCACATTTGGAACATTCAGCTTTTTCTTACTTTATAATGAGCTAAGAAGGAACTTTTTCTGAGTGAAAAAAGGAGCAGTTGGATGTTACTCAGAAGATTTGGGGGCAGGAGGAGGGAGGAAGGGTGAGGATAGAAAAAGGAACTTTTTAAACGCCACAGAGAAATGAGTACAGGACTTGAGAAGATTGTTATCTGACAGACAACAAATAGAAATGCCACCCAGGATTCAGACTGTTAGTAAGCTCTAAATAAACATTAACTGAATTAATAAATGAAATTATTTGGTGATATTTAAACATAAGTTACCATTAAAGGTAATAGGCCTCAATACCACAAGTGGCTGGTGCTAAGAATTGTGATCAAAATACTAATAGGTTTTCAAAAGTTGTTTTAATTGGGGGTGGGGGGGAGCCTCCTTAGTTTAATGGAACTCCTTCTTGAAAAGTGAAAAAAAAATCATAGACAGAAACAAATACAAGAAAACTGCTTGGTTCTCTCTACTCATTACAAACCACCTGCTCTAAGCAGTCAGTCAGTACCCTTAGGGTCCCCTTGCCACCTTATGCATATTCTAGCTTCTCCATGTGATGGCAATTCTCAAATACCCCTCTCCTTCACCAATTCTACCCCATCATGACTTAATATACCTTCTTCAAGCCCCACCTTCTCCATGAAACTCTCCAGGAAGTCCAGAGAAAATTCCAGGGCACCCTCACGGCATTCTTTCTTCCTCCTCCTGGCCTCGTTATACTATACAGTTGTCTGCTCCACACAGGTGTACAGAGGTGACATGTAATATGTTCTGTCCCCTGTTGAGCTAATCTAACCCTAGTCAAAGTGTGGCCTATGTACCAATACTGGTCTGTGATGAGTTAAGTACAGACACTGTACTGTATTTGTGATACTGAGTAGGGGTTTAGAAACTTTTATAGTAATTTGACATAGTCACATCTAAATATGTGATCAAAACATTTTATAAGATTATCAGTCTGTGAGAGACTGGGAATTTAAAAACAAAAAACTGGTCCTTCACCTCTGACAGTTTAAGCAGCACTGGGTCTAGAATAATGGGTAAAAATTTAAGCTCTGGAGTTGGGCAGATGGGTTAAAATCCTGGCTCTTCCACTTCTTAGCTATGTAAACTTGGGTGAGTCATTTAAATTCCCTACGCCTCCATTCATATTCTGTACAATAACAGATTTATCCTCATTGAACAAATACTTCTTGAACTTCTGAGTGCCAGAAAGCAAATATCTTGTGAAGGTTAAAGTCTGATGGGGGGAGAAAGATACTAACTGAATAACCACAGGAATAAATATTAAATTTACCTGTTATAGCTTATGAAGGAGAGATGGATGGTATGATGGGAATGTACAATAGGAGGATCTGACCAAGTCTGAGAAGGCAAGGTCTTAGAGAACGCTTTGCTGAGGTTGTATGATTACGTTGGAATCTTAAGGATGAGTAGAGATTGCCTTGGCAAAGTGCTGGAGGGAAGAGCATGGGCAAAAGTCCTGTGGCACTAATAGGCACTATGTCTCTGTGGACCTGAGAAGAGGCCATATGGCTGGAAGAGAGAACTACAGAAAGTGTGGTGAAAACAAGGCTTGAGAGGTGGGCAAGAGCCAGGCTATACGAGGCCATGTGGGTCCCACTGTATTTTCTTTTTAATTGTGGCAAAAAACACGTAACATAAAAATTACCATCTTAACCGTATTTAAGTGTACAGTTCAGTACTGTTAAGTATATCCACGTTGTAAAACAGATCTTCAGAACTTTTTCATTTTGCAATCCTTAAACTCTATACCCACTGAACAATAACTCCTCTTTTCTCTCCCTCCCAGCCCCCAGTAACCACCATTCTTTCTGTTTCTATTAAGTTTACTACTTTAGATATCTCAAGTGAAATCATAGTTATTATCTTTTTGTGCCTGGTTTATTTCACTTAGCATAATACCCTTAAGTTTCACCTATGTTGTAGCATGTGACAGGATTCCTTCCTTTTTAAGGGCCCCATGTATTTTAATCTTTATCTTAAGAGCAAAATGGGGAGGAAAGGAAACCCTTGTTGTTGGGAATGTCAATTAGTACAGCCATTATGGAAAACAGTATGGAGGTTTCTCAAAAAAATAAAAATAGAACTACCATATGATCCAGCAATTCCACTTCTGGGTATGTATCTGCAGGAAACAAAATCACTGTCTCAAAGAGATATCTGCACTCCCATGTTCACTGCAGCATTGTTCACAATAGCCAAGATAAGGAAACAACGTTAAGTGTCCATTGACAGATGAATGGATAAAGATGATGTGGTGGATACATATATACACAATGGAATATTATTCAGCCATGAGGGAGAAGGAAATCCTGCCATTTGCAACAACATGGATGAACCTAGAGGACATTATGCTAAATGAAATTAGCCAAATATTGTATGATCTCACTTATATGGAGAATATATATATATATATATATATATATATATATATATATAGCAAAGTGTTCTCACCACCAAAAAAAAAAAAAAAAGGTAACTATGTAAGGTGATGTATGTGTAATTACCTGGATTGTGGTAATCATTTCTCAAAGTGCATGTCTGCCAAATTGTTACATTATACACTTCATTTAGACGTAAAATGGACTGAAATTATGACATGCTAAAACATGGGTAAACCTTGAAAACATTATGCTAAGTGAAAAGAGTCCAACACAAGAGGACTAATATTGTCTGATTCCACTTACATGAGGTACCTAGAATAGTCAAATTCACAGAGTCAGAAAGTAGAATGGTGGTTACCAGGGGTTGGGCGGAGGAGAGAATGGGGAGTTATTATTAATTGGTTCAGAGTTTCTGTTTGAGATGAAGAAAATATTGTGGAAGTGGATGGCAGTTGATGGTTGCACAACAATGTGAATGTACTTAATGATACTAAATTACACACTTAAAAATAGTTAAAATGATCAATTTTGTTATGTATATTTTACCATAGTCTTTTAAAAAAAAGAGCAAAAGGGAAATACTGAATGATTTTAAGTTGAATTCTTCATATTTATTATCTCATTTAAAGTGATTACCACTGTACTTAGCACATCCTAAGCACAAGATTAATGGTATCTATTATTTTCCTTTTGTGTGTTCTATCCCATGGACTGAAACTTCCTGAGTAGGGTCTTGACCATGTCTTACTTTATACCCACAGGACAGTGCAGGGCACATGGTAGGTTAGCAATAAAAATCTGTTCACTTGGGGTGACCGGTTAGCTCAGTTGGTTGGAGTGTGGTGCAGATAACACCAAGGTTATTGGTTCGATCCCTGCACAGGCTACTGTGAGCTGCGCCCGCCCTAAAAGAGTCAACTATGCCATTGTGGCATGAAAGCAATGTGTAACCAATGACCATGGCTGTTCCCCAATAAAATAAAATAAATAAAATAAAATAAAATAAAATAAATAAAATAAAATAAAGACTGGGTTAAAAAAAAATGTTGTTCACTGTAAATAAGTCAGGACTTCAACAGGCACTGTGATCAATGGAAATTCAACTACATCTCCTATATGCTGATGAGCAATTCTGTAGAACTGGGGTTCAGAATCACGACCTTGAGCATTTCAACCCTGAATCAAGGCAAGCTTAAATTATCCTGTATATTCTAAACTCTGAGGTCTGCAAATTCTACAAGAAAAGTTTAATTTTGCATTTTCATTTCCATTAATATCTAAAAATAAGTGTTTGTACTGGTTATAAAGATAAAGCTTCTCTTTGTTAAGTGGTAATTTGCAACTGAAAGACATTTCTTAAAATAAAACTTCAGTTTCTAAAGTCAGTATTTCTCAAACTGAAGTTCCATATGCTTAAAGATCTGTGTTCTTCTTTTCCTTTCCAAAGAGTCACTATACTCTTGAAGCTTGAGAACCACTTTTTACATACACACTATCCCCAAATACAGCCTAATATATTTTGTTCATATGTTTTAGAAAAACGTTGGTTTAATATGTTTTAGAAAAATTTTAGTAAGTTTTGAGGCAATAAAAGCTTAATAATTTATGAAACCCAATGTCCCATTTTGTGATCATTCAGACTACTGGAAACTATCCTGTATTTAGAGGAATATTTTACAATTAAAAAACATCTTTTGCCTTGGACTTTGGCCAGTTCAGAATCACATGCTCAGCATTCTATTCAAGTTCAAACGATGACCTGGTGGGGTATAGTCATACCAAGTCAGAGCTGGCATGATCCAGCCACCTCACTTAAGGGATGCAGCAATTATAATGGAAATGTAGTTTTCCCTAAAGCAGTGGATCTTCATGGAAGTAGTACTGCCCTCTAGGGGGCCTTATGGAAATCTGTGGAACTTTTTTGAGTGTCAAAATGAAGGGGTGGAGAGGAAAGAGCACAAAACTGTCATTTGTTAAGGGTAAGGGATGCTAAGTATCCCTCAGTGCTGGGGACAGTTGTGAAATACAAAGAACTGTCCCATGTCTCACGCTACTTTTGATATCTCACCAAATTGTTTTTAATTTTCTGAACCTCAAACCTAATTCCAGGGCCGGCCGAGTAGCTCAGTTGGTTAACAGCTCGCTCAAGAGTGCGAGTTCTGAGCAACAGCAGTTCGAGTCCTGGCCCGAGCTGAGCTGCCAACAGGTGGCAGGATGGCTCAGCTAAAAAATAAACAAACAAACAAAAAACACCTAATTCCATTTTTTTTGGTGCAGGGAGGGGAGGTGATTTTTTTATATACTCAATTTCCAGTTATGCAACCATAGAGTAAATATAGGGAAAACTGCAGTTCATTTTGTTCAAAACTTTATCAAGAGTAGTTCACCATTTAGGAAAATCACATCCAAGACAGAACTGCCTTCTGCGATATCTAAGTAGCTAACACACTGTATCACCTTCAATTGAAATCTGTCCCAATTATAGTGATTTTATAACTAAGGGATTGCATCTGACTTCTCCATTACACCTTCTAGGACTGTTGTGCACAAGCACTTATGAAATTAAGTTATTTTATTTTTATTTCTCCTGATTGTTACAGTAGAGCATTATGTTGCTTTTTGTTGTTGTTGTTGTTAATGTTATTGTATGTAGAGTGCATCAACTGTGAATTTCATTTTGGGTTAGAAAAGGGAGCTGTGGGTTTGATATCATTCAGAACCATTACTCTGAAATCACATGGTGAACCAGGAGCAAAAAATTATGGTAGAGAATCTATGACAGCAGCAATTGTGGTCAAGAGAATTTAATTTGGGACTGGGATGGGTTCAAGTATAGGCACAATATTTTACTATTTTGGTTATTTTGGGAAGGCTACTTAACTTTTCCAGGTTTCCTTTTTTTCTTCAATTGTAAAAATGGGTTTAGGATTATCTCAGTTTTAGTCGGAGGATAAAATAAGAACAATTTATTGGCGTCAATAAATAAATAAACGCTGTCTGAGCTCTCTCCACTTTGCATTTTTCTATAGCCTTCCTTTCTGTGTTGAACTGACTTCCTAAGGTTATTTCCAGGTTGGTTCTAGTCAGTTCTGAGCTTATGCCACAGAAAAATAATTGAGTCGCTGCTGTAATGTAGTAGAAAGAGCTTCATACTTGGGAACCAGAAGACTTGGCTTCAAGTTCTGAATGACACCATATGTGACCACAGAACCTCTTAAGCCTCAGTTTCTATCAAATGGGACACCATCTACCTCATAGAGTCATTCTGAATTTTAAATAAGTGCTTAGCATAGTGCCTGGCATAGAATAAGTGCTTATTAATAAATGTTGGTTATTATTATTATTCTCAGCATAATGGGAAGCACAACTGAAAATGATAAAGCAGTGCTTACCAAAATTCTGTCATTCTCATTCCTTAGTTACGATTATCTTTTCATCTAGAACTTGTAATATGAAAAACTTAATATTTCGTATATATCAACTTTTCTACTTACATAGGTTTTAAAAGAAATCTTTAAATTATCAGCAAATGGAAAACCAGTATTATTACTTGCCACAAATAGAAAGCAACTATTAACTACAATAAAAACATTATTAAATTTTAGCTAGATACTGTTGTCTGTGGAAAGTTCTGTGCCTGAGGCTTTCCCTTTGTTAAAATGGGAGATTAGGGATCTCCGGTTAGCTAAGTTGGTTAGAGCGCAGTGCTCACAACACCAAGGTTGCGAGTTCGATTCCTGAATGGGTCACTGAGCTGTGCCCTCCACAACTAGATTGAAAGAACTACTTGACTTGGAGCTGATGGGTCCTGGAAAAACAGTTCCCCCATTCCCCCCAAAAAAGGTATTAAAAAAAAAGGTAGATTAATAAGCAATAGGTGTTAAAGACAAAATAGCATTTACCTGAGATAGTCTCTGAAAATAATCAGAACGATTGACTGAAATTGGTTTTTAATATGGAAGCACACGTAAAATCCACCTAAAATAGATACCACCTAAAATCATCTCAAATTACCTGTCTCCATAGATAAATACTGTGGTAAAACAAAAGAGGAAGAAATTGCCTCCACTGCAGTAGAGGAAGTGATAATTACAACCCTTCACATCTCTATGGCAGTTTTACATTTGCCAAGCAGTTGGTTATTTGGTGTCTCAGCTGACCACCAGAGTAGTTTGGTAAAACGAGTATAATCACACATACCTTATCTATAATTCATAGATAAGCCCGAGGATTTCCAACTAGCCTAACAATATTAACAACAACATTTTTTTGAGCACTTAATTCGTCCCAAGCCCAGTGCTAAAGCCTTTACAGATATCTAAAATTTAATCCTCAAGCCTGCTCTATGAGGCATGTCATGCTGTCATGCCCATTTTACAGATGACAAAGAAACAGGTAACTGAGCTCAGGTCACCCAGCCAGTGGGGTTGCGATGTGAACCGAAGCGAACAGAATCCCTGCACTTTTTTGCCCAAGGTCACGGGGGAGTGAGGTCGTCGGATCCGGGAGAGCGCTGACCTGTCGGAGACTTGTTCCTGGGTGAGCTTCTTGTCGCTCTGCAGCAGGATGGAGACGTAGTGGCGGATCATGCCCACGAAGAAGGTGATAATAACGATGGGAAGTACCACCCAGAGGCGGATGTTGGAGTCGAGCAGCAGCTCCGGCCCCGCCATCTTCATCGAGTTCCCCGCCAGGTGTAGCGGGGTTTCTCTTCCCCCGCGGCGCCCGGGTTCCCTTCGAGATCGTCTCCGGACCTTCTCACGCCCTCAGACTGGTTGGCCAGGGACCCTTCCGCAGGATCTGCCTTGGCGCACTGCCTCCTAGCCGGTCCGCAAGGCCGCCCACTTCCGGCGCGGCAGTTTGAAGTCCCGACGCGGCGCGCCTCGGTGACGTCAAGGTCGCGTCTAGACTGGCGGGAAAGTCGAAAACGAGAGGCGGCGACAGTTTGCTGGCGGTAAGTGGAGCAGAGGTCGTCTTCTCTTGAGGCTCCGCTTTACTGCGGCCTGGTCTGTAGGCCCCGGCAGAGCTCGGCCTTACCCTCCGGGGCTCCGCGCCCTGAACTTCGGCTTCCTCGTCTGTTCTATCGTGAGATAGTCCCCCAGGTACCCTCCTGCATCGTTAAGGTGACGAAATGAGAGGCTTTTATCCCCAACCCCTCCCCGAATGGCCTGGGCGGGGCATCCGGCCCCTTCTCCCGGCCTTTTAGACTTCTCCATAAACGAAAAGGTAGAGCACAGTTAAGGACGTCCCCTGAAGTCCTCGGGCCCTGACTTGCCTTAGTTTTTCCGCCTGCAAAATGGCTGATAATGGTTATAAGTATTAAACGAAGCAGCAGATCAAGAAAACGCTTAGTATGGTGGCTGGTGCATAGTAAATGTTAACTGTTATTGGAAGCCATTATTATAAACAAGACATAGGTGGTAGTTAAGAGGGCGGATTCTGGAGCTAGACTGCATGAGTTAGAATCCCAGCTCTGCTACTGATTATGAGTAATAGTGGTACCTCCCTCAAAAAGTTTTGTGAGGAATAGCTGAAGTATTAAGTATTAGCACTTAAATAGTTTTTGTTAGCAGTTAGTACTTACCTGCCTGCCAGCCATTCTCATTTAGCAAATATTTTCAGAAAATTTTTGTATGCCAGATACTGTGGTGGGCACTAGGGATAGTGAGATAATTGAGTCGGGGTTCCTGCTCTCAAGGAGCCCCACAGTCTAGTGTGATGTGGTAAGGGCTCCTAGATAAAGTCAGTGGAACAGAAAAGCTGAAGTAGCAAACTCCCTTGGGGATAAGAGGAAAATTTTCAAGGAAGATAATGACCTTTGAGTCTTTAAGGATGAGTAGTAGTTTCGAGGCAGATAAGAGCATATTGGGTGAAAAGAACACCTGATGCAAAAGCACTGAGACCAGGAAGGTTTGGTTTACAGGATAGACAAGAAGTGCATGTGGTTCAGGCCCTCCCCCTACCTCTGCAGTCTGGTTTCTAACTCTAAGCTCCTTCCTTTTTCAGTGTTAATTTTTTTCTTTCCTTGACCACTCTTCTTATACCTCTTCTACTGGCTAACTCCTGTTTCAGGTCCCTGCTTAAAATCACTTTTTCTAAGACCGGGGTGTCAAACTGGCAGCCCACGGGCCGCATGCGGCCCTCGAGGTAATTTTTTGTGGCCCGCGATGCTCTGAAATAAAATGAAAATAGAAAAAATTGTTATGAAGAAAATAACGCTTAGGGGAGATTGAGGCAATACCATACACACAATTCCTTCGTTAATCCTTTAACTACTGAAGACGAGTATACACTGGCCCAGTGCCTTTCCTGGGGGCCTGTGGGCGTGTATAAACGGGCTGACTCAGTTCTGGCGACTGAGTCTGGAAGCGATATGTCTGCCACTCTCAGTGTCACGTAATGTAAACAGATCCCAATAGCGAAAAGGATAAAAAGAGCACTTGGGTAAAAAAGAATAATTTTAGTTTTATAAATACATTAAATAAAATAAATGTTTAAAAGCAATTATATAGTGTTTTAATTATCCTATCCATATTCCTGAATCCTCACTTCAGAATATAAATTTAACAAAATTTGTAAATGTGATGTGGCCGGTGTGAATCTTGCCTGTTGCACCAAATGGCCTGTGTTTTAATTGAGTTTGACACCCCTGCTCTAAGACATTATCCCTGAGAAATTGTCCCTGCTTTTCTTCGTCACTTCCACCCCAACTAGACTAAATTTCCTTGTAAGCCCTCATTGCACTTTTCTTTTATGGCACACAATTCTATAGTCATGTATTATTAACCATGGGGATACATTCTGAGAAATGCGTCTTTAGGCAATTTTGTTGGTTACGTGAACATCATAGAGTGCACTTGCACAAACCTGGATGGTATAGCCTACCGCACAGCTAGGCTAGATGGTATAGAACCCATTGCTCCTAAGCTACAAACCTATACAGCATGTTACTGTGCAAAACAAAAGATTAAATCAAGCACAAGAGAAATGATGTAATCAGGAGATGTTGTGTATATGAGATGTATGAGGCTGCTGGTATACTGGCTGTTGCATAGCAAACTTTTTTATGAGTAGAAAAAGTATAATCTAAATAATGATTAAAAGTATAGTATAGTAAATATATAAATCAGTAACAGTCATTTTTATCATTATCAAGTATGTACTGTACATAATTGTGTGTGCTGTACTTTTATATGACTGGCAGCACAGTAGGTTTGTTTACACCAGCATCACTACAAACACATGAATAATGTGTTGTGCTATATTATTATAACAGTTATTTTGTCACTAGGTGATAGGACTTTCTCAGCTCTGTATTAATCCTCCAAGACCACTGTGGTATATGCGTTCTATCATCTGAAACATCCTTAAGTGGGGCATGACTAGTTAAGTAACTACATCAATACTACTCTTTACTATAAACTCTCCGAGGGCAGGCATCATGTCTGTTTCACAGTTGTAACCCCAGCACGTAGCATAGTCCCTAATATGTAGTATTGGATTAATAAAGGAGAGGTATAATTTGGGGCTAGATGATGAAGGATCTTGAATGTCAGATAGAGAACTGGGGTTTTATCCTTCATGAAGGAAGGGGGTCTGGCCAGAAAGGCAACTAAGTAAACAAGTCTTGAAAGCAAAGGAGTGTTGACCAGTTAGATATAGGAGTTGAAATTTTCTCAGCACCTGGATTTAGATAGCATTAGTGTAAAACACTAGAACCACTTTGGGCTTTGGATAGAGTAGTTTTCTTTGATCTATAGCTTTAACTTCTCAAAATTCGTCTAGCTTCTAGAGGGTAACTTCTGTTCTCTGATTTTGCTATAGAAAGTAATTTAACTGCAGAAGAGTGGTCAAAATGATTTCCCAAAGAAGACTGCCAAAATCTGAGAATAAAGAGAGCCTGACAGAAGATGCCTCTAGTAAGTGTCTAGTCATTTGTTATTTCCTGTAGCAAATATGTGAGGCTGTATTTTATCTTTTTGTTTTGTTTTGTTTTTGTTTTTTTGTTTTTTTTTTGTAGAGGGCAGTGTCACTGGCCCTCACATGTGGGATCCGAACTGGGGCCCTCAGGCGTCCCAAGCCAGTTCTTAACCATCGCGCCACTCGGCTGGCCCGAGTTTTACAATTTTAATACAGTTTTTTTCTTTCTTAAAATGTGTATATATTTTTTGGCACCCTCTCTGTGTGTACCACATCTTCTTTATCTAATCATAATGGAATAATATTCAGCCAGAAAAAAACGAAATACTGCATTTGCAACAACATGGATGGATCTTGAGAGTATCATGCTAAGTTAAATAAGTCAAATGGAAAAGGACAGGAACCATATGATTTCACTCATATGTGAGATATAAAACAAAAAGCAACAAACAAACAAACAAAAACCTCATAGGCACCGACAACATTGTGGTGGTTACCAGAAGGGAAGTGGCGTTGCGGAGAGGCTAAAGAGGGTCAAAATACATGGTGATGGAAGGAGACTTAACTGAGTGGTGAGCACACAATGTAATATACAGATAATGTTTTGTAGAATTGTACACTTGAAACTTATATAATCTTATTAACCAACATCATCCCAATACATTTAATAAAATTTAAAAAATATGTGAGGCACTTAAAGAGATATGAAGTTTACTTTCAAGTGTTGGTAGTCATCAAGGCTTAATGGATAGAGAACACAGAATCTGTATCAGATTGGGATTGAGTTTCTGCCCCTGATTCCATGTATGACCTTGGGCATGCCTAGAGTCTCTGAGTGTCAGTCTCCACATCAGTAAGAGGAGTTAGTATTATAGAGCTTATCTACTGTACATCTTCTAGGTGCTGGGACACAAAGATACAACATAGTCCCTACTCTTTAAAAAAACTTATGGTCCCCTTTCTTTCCTTAAAAAAGATTATGGTCTAGATAAAGGCTATGACAGTAATGTATAAAGGAAAGAACTCGTATCAAAGCAAACACACCAGAGGCAAAGAAGCAGCGCAGACTCTGTACATATGAGAATGTTGTTGACAGAGGCCCTGAGAGTTCTGACAAGAAGTTGCTACTGTTTTTCATTTATTACACCCATCTACTCTTTTAAGGCAATTCTAACTTGTTGCATCATTAAGGAAGAAGAGTAGATAATCATATTTAACTTCAAGTACCTGTTTGTTTTTGTTTGTTAGTTATGATTTGTCACTTCTCATGGGTTGAAAACCTTGGGATGAAACCAATCTGGGCTTTGTACTCAAAGATATGTTAAGGAGAACCTGCCCTATTTTTTCTATTCCTGCATTTATTTATTTATTTATTTATATTATTATTATTTTTTATAACTCACTTTTTTTTTTAAGATTATTGGGGAATTGGGGGAGGGGAACAGTGCTGGGGAATCAGGGAAGGGGAACAGAAAAGTTGCTGTCCTTTTGTTCTTCAGTCTAGTTGTAGAGCACGTTGCTTCACTGGCTCATGTTGGTATTATCATTGCGCTCTTCTCGGCTGAGGCCGATCGGTCGCTGACCATTGGATGGCTGCTCACAGCGGCACTTGGCAGCTCACACTCACAGTAGCTCACGGCAGCCCACTGCAGCAAGGGCTGCAGCCTACGTACGCCGTCGCTGGCGACTCACAGCAGCCCAGCTTCAGGTCGAGCTGCTGCTCACCATCTTAGCTGTAGAGGGCAGTGTCACTGACCCTCATGCGGTATCCGAACCGGGGACGTGCTACTCAGAGCTGGCGTCCCAAGCCAGCTCTTAACCAGTGTGCCACTTGGCCGGCCAGCTCTATCCCTGCATTTAGATCATTGGTTCTCCAACTTTGCGCATCAGGATTATTACCTGGAGAGCTTGTTAAAAATTCAGACTCCCAGGTCCAATCCCTAAAATTTTGGTTCCTTAGCTCTGGGATGTGACCTATGGATATGCGTTTGATTTTAGTGCAACGGTTTGTAGGCAACAGCTTTAGAATTTGGGTAGAAAACATTTATATGATTATTCTTGTTAGAAGTGGCACATTTTGAAATTTTCAAATGAAAATAGGTGAAAATAATTATATTTGTTGATTATTTATTTATTTATTTGGAAGCCACTGTTGTTGACCTTTGTTGGACATAAAATTTCACTACAGCATCAATTCCAGTATAATTTTTCAGGAACCTATCAGCTTTCCTCTTAGGGCTATTATTCTAGGGTTTACATTTTTCTCTTTGCTTTACTATTTGTCACATTCCTGAAATTTTTTTCGTTTTCAGACACCAGGAAGCAACCACCTTCCAGAAAGACAAAGAAATCTCGTGTTCAAAATGAAGTTGAAGAAAATGACAGTATCTTCGTAAAGCTTCTTAAGACATCAGGAATTATTCTTAAGACAAGAGAAAGTCAGAATCAACTAGGTGATATTTTAATCTAAATCTTTTCTCTGGGTGTAGTGAAAGGGCTTAGAACTGAATCATGGATTTTCTAAATAGAGAGGCAATGACATTGGAAACGGGAGCACCATTCATCTTGAGACAAGGATGAAAATGAAATGGTTTTTTAGAGAATATTGTTATAGTCTTTGATCCTGATAAATGCATGTTAAGTAAAGTACTTCTAATCCTTTTTTTTTATTTATATACTAGTAGTATTGCTTTATTTTCTCTTGTGAAAAAATAAATACCTAGAGAGCAATTAGACCTGTGTCAGAATAATTTTAGAAGAAAATTTACAAAGCCACGTAAGGCATGTCAGCCCTGCTTGTGGGGTGTAAATTATTCCATTCTACTAAGGTTATGGCATGTCTTTTTTAGAACCTTTAGTAACTATCCTCTATCAAAGCTAAATCTGTTTTACTCTGGGTTTAGAATTAGGTTGAAAGTATCTTTATTCATTTCATCAGATAGGAAACTTAGGTCTGAAGAAAAGTAAAACTATGGTAGGAGATGTTAAAGTTTTTGGTGACCAACTATTCTTCCCTCATAGTTGTGGATCAAATTGTTTTCCAAAAGAAGCTCTTTCAGACTCTGAGGAAACATCCTTCTTATCCCAAAGTATGTATTATTTTCCCCCCCCCGGTATTTTTACTTTTTCCAGCAATACTCTGGAATTGGGAATTTAAAGACACTGGCATAAAATGTTGAATGAGCTAGAATATTTTTAGCTAACCCACAGCAAATGTTAATCTAAAAATCTTAACCTTACTCTTTTTTTTTTTTTTAATGTCATTAAGATAATAGAAGAATTTGTTAGCGGTCTGGAGTCTTACATTGAGGACCAAGACAATTTCAGGAACTGCCTTTTGTCTTGTGAACGTCTACAGGATGAGGAAGCCAGGTGTGGAGAAGGGGCGTGGAGTCTTGCTGAAATTTAGCCTGTTATACTAACTGGTGGGAGGGGGGACAGTGCAGAATGCAGTTTTTTTTTGGAATTTCACTTCTGATTTATAGCTCTCTTTTCTTCAGTTTTATCCTAACCTGTAAATTATTAAGTTTATGATTATGAGACTAAGAACCAGTGTTTTCTAGAATGTGTCTCTCCTGTGTTGACAGAATTTCAGTTCTCTACTTTTCCCTGGCTTAAGAGCCATCTTCTCATGTTCTGCATTTGTTACCTACCAAGTTAGTTTCTTTTTATAGATGATATATTTAACCAATTTTATGGAGATAGAAGATAGAATAAGAAAGACATTAAAACAAGGAAAACAAAATAGAAAACTTTTTTTTTTTTTTTTAAACAGCACGGGCACATGTTACTCTAAGAGCCTTATTAAATTGCTTCTGGGGATTGACATATTACAGGTGAGACTGCAACTTTTTCTTTGAACATTTTGTTGGATGTGATTTGTGGCATATGCCCAAGTATAAATGGCTGGAGCACAGAGTAGAGTAGGCTTAATGGAAGAATTTGGGTTTATAACAGTTTACTGTAGCCCTGTTGCTGAAATGCATCTGGTAGAGCAATATCTAAATCCTTGTACTGAGCTGATTAGCCCAGTGCATCTCAAAGTCTCACTTATTCCTTCAGTCTCTCATTCCTGTTTTGAAAAGATTCATCCTGCGTGCTCTTAGTACCTTGTATATCTCTGCTATGTTCACATCTATGTTATCTCCCACTTAGCTTTTTATTTGATAATTAACTTGATTTTGCCATTTTCCTTTCCTTTCTATCTTTTAATTTATTGAGTAGATATGTTTTAAACATCTCAAATTATAAAACCATATATACATGGAAAGTCTTCTTTCCACCCCATCCTCCATTTTTTGTCTTTTCTTCTCTCCCACTGTTAATCTTCCCATACTCTTATCTCTTCATTGGAAATCTTGAATACAATTTAGTTAGCTTAAATCTAAAAGCCTTCTTTTCCTCTGAAGACAATCTCCTTTTCTTGAAAACTCTTTGATAATTTTTTTTTTTTTTAAGATTTTTATTGAAGAATTGGGGGAAGGGGAATAGACAAGTTATTCAACTCCTTTTGTTCTTCAGTCTAGTTTTGGAGGACGTTGCTTCACTGGCCCAAGTTGGCACCAACATTGCGCTCTTCCCGGGCGAGGCAGATCAGGTGCCGGTTTCTGGACAGCTGCTCACAGTGGCTGCTGGCCACTCATGCTGACTGCTGGCTACACACGGTAGCCCATGGCAACCCACCTGCCGTGGCCGGCGACTCAAGGCAGCCCAGCTCCAGGTCGAGCTGTTGTTCAGCATCTTAGCTGTAGAGGGCAGTGTCACTGGCCCTCATATGTGGGATCCAAACCGGGGCCCTCCGGCATCCCAAGCCAGCTCTTAACCAACGCGCCACTCGGCCGGCCCTTTGATAATCTTTTAAAGTCTGCATTTCATAGGTTAACAGTTGTCATCATGTTTAATGATGTTTTTGATTATCTGATTATTTTAATATTGCTCTGATAGCCAGTTTACAATTTTTCAGAAGATAAATTATTGATGAGTCTTTGTATTCCAACAGCTTATATTCAAAATATAGGCAGCATTCATGTGGACATTCTTATAAGAATTTTCTGGGCCAGCCGAGTGGCGCAATGGTTAAGAGCTGGCTTGGGGGACGCCTCAGGGCCCCGGTTCGGATCCCACATATGAGGGCCAGTGACACTGCCCTCTACAGCTAAGATGCTGAACAACAGCTCAACCTGAAGCTGGGCTGTCGTGAGTCGCCGGCAACAGCGTAGGCTGCAGCCCCTGTGGTAGTGGGTTGCCATGGTCTACCGTATGTAGCCAGCAGCCAGCGTGAGCAGCCAGTAGCCACAGTGAGCGGCCGTCCAGAAGCCAGCGACTGATGTGCCTCGCCCAGGAAGAGCGCAATGATGGTGCCAACTTGGGCCAGTGAAGCAACATCCTCCACAACTAGACTGAAGAACGACAGCAACTTGTCTGTTCCCCTTCCCCCAATTCCCCAGCTCTGTTCCCATCACCCCAATTCCCCAATAAAAATCTTTAAAAAAGAAAAAGAAATTTCTGTTATAGCAGGATTTTTCCTGTAAGAGTGCTTGTTGGAGAGAATTATGGCTAATGATACATTCCTGTTGTATATTTTGAGACCATCTCCTAACTCCCTATGTCTTCTTTTTTCAGCCTGCAATTATCAAAACCTTATTTGAAAAGTTGCCAGAATTTCTTTTTGAAAGGTAAGTGGAGGTATTCTGGAATGCTTAAAGTACCCTGGTTTACTTAAGTTTGTGTCTGAAAAGATTAAAGCATCATTGGTTTCTCTGAAGGTCATATTTATGATGCCAGATTCTTAAGTGACTACTAAAATTTTATGATGGTGTCTTTGAAATTTCATCTATTTAGAAAAATACATATTCCCAGGAGGATACACAATAAACTGGTAATCGTAGTTGTCTCCAAGGAAGGGAGCCAGTTGGCTGGAGTCAGATAGTTTCTGAATTCTGTTCTTTAACTTTTCAATTTTATAGTGTACTATTTTTAAAAATTTACTTACCACCTTTTAAAAAATTTACTTTAAAAAAGAACTAAGGAAAAAATGAACAGAATAGAAAAGTAGATAAAGGTCATGAGCAGACAATTCACAAAAAAGAAATGCAAGAACATCAAACATTTTTTTTAAATGCTCAATTTCATTAATAATCAAAGACAAATTTAAAACTACATTTTTTTCCACTCTCAAAGGATCTCCCTTGTTGAGTGTAATGAATAGGCATGCTTATACATCACTGATGAACACATAAATTGGTTCAATCATTCTGAAGGGTAGTAGGTTGTGTATCAAAACCTTAGATTTTACATACCCTTTAATCCTCAACCATGTCTCCTAATTTATCCTAAGATAATAATTGTGAATGAAAACATTAATGAATAAGATTACTGTTTAAAATAACAAAAATTGTAAACAACTGAGATGTTCAACTATAGGATATTGGTTAAGTAAATTGGGTATATCCACGCAATGGAATATCATGTAGACATTAAAAATTGTAAAGAGAACTATTTAATAATGCACATTAATTGAAAAAAAAAGTCAGGTTATAAATCAGTATTTACAGTACAGCCCAGTATTTTGTTTAAAAAAAAAGGTATATCCATACACACATACACATAGGTACACATACATATGCATATTAGTAGTGGATATCTCTGAATGACAGGATTATAGGTCTTTTTTTTTTCTTCATATGTGTTTTTTTCTGGGTGTTGTATACAATAATAATAAATTTGAAGATTTACTTTTAAAATGTAGTGCTTTACCTGAATGGCTCACTAGATGCTTTATGCCCTGACTAAGTCTTTTCCAGCAGTTAAATTTGACTAGTAAGCAAAGACCGAGAATGTTGTCACGTAAAGGAACTGGGGGTGGTGTAAAACTAGATATTATAGGTTGGGAGGAAAGCAGAGGCTGTCACTTTGGGGGGAATAACTGCTGAGCCAACATTTTTTCTTCCATAAATGGTTTTCAATACTTTCACAAACATAATCTAATTTGAGCTGACATGTTTCCATAGCAGTAGATGATTACCTTTTTCACTATTCATCACATTGATATAATTTTTTTACCTTTTTAAAATATTCATCTTACTCAATTTCTTCAAGTTTATTATCTGTAATTTTTAAAATTGTTTAAATTATTTTAGGAGATACTCTCCAGAATGTGAAACTTCCCCAAATGTAGCCACGGTTAACAGATTTCAACTTTTTCCAGACATTTTTCTCAATGTATATGTTATCTATGCTTATCTCATGCTTTTTTTAACCACCTGTGTGTCTATCACAGTGCACAACACATAGTAAATATTCAGTAAATGTTAATTGAATGGCTGCAATGTTTTGTGCAGTATTAATGTTTGCTGTTGTATAAGCCAGAAAGGCTAAGTTCCTTGTCTTCTCATCCTAACATTTTAGAGTGAACTGTGATGGAATCAGCATGCCTCTACTCATCATCAGTCAACTGAAATGGCTTGACAGAGTTATGGATGGCAGGGTAGGCTTTGGGACTTCTTCTTTCTCTTAAATTTAGAGAGTGTTTTCCACAGTTAAGCAAACTTTTGGAATTTGGAGGTTTTTTTTCCCTTTCTAAACAAAAATTCACATTTTTTTATTCGTCCATTAACTTTTTTCAGCTTTAATAATTTGAGAATCATGGGTATTTCACCCTTTACATTTCTCAAAAAAAAAAAAAAAATTTACGGGACCTGCCGAGTGGCACGTTGGTTAAGAGTTGTCTTGGGAGCGCCACCTCTGAGCAGCAGGACCCCGGTTCAGATCCCACATGAGTTCCAGTGATTCTGCACCCTCTGCAGCTAAGATGGTGAGCAACAGCTCTACCTGGAGCTGGGCTGCCGTGAGTTGCCGGCGGCGTAGGGGGCTGCAGTGGGCTGCCGTGAGCTACCATGAGTGGCTGGCAGCCAGCGTGAGCGGCCAGCAGCTGGCGTGACCTGCTGTGAGCCGCTGTTAGCGGCCGTTCAATGGCTGGTGAGTGACTACCTCACCCGGGAAGAGCGCAATGATAATACCAACATGGGCCAGTGAAGCGATGTCTTCCACAACTAGACTGAAGAACAAAAGGATGGCAACTTGTCTGTTCCCCTTCCCCAATTCCCCAACGCTGTTTCCTCCCCCAATATCCCAATAAAATTAAAGAAAAAAAAAAGAGAGAAATTTACCTACTTATGATGACTAGATATCATTTATTAAGTAAATTAAATATTTGGAAAGAAATTTAGTTTTTAAAGTATAGAAATTACTGTTTTATTTCTCAAAAGCAATGAGATCCCAAGCCACCCTACTTTACTGCAAATGTTTTAATTTAATTATATACAGCAGTCCCCCTTATCTGCAGTTTTGGTTTTTGTGGTTTCAGTTACCTATGTTCAGCCATGATTGGAAAATATTAAATTTTTACAACTATTGACATTTTCTGCTTCTGACAGCCAACCATTGACATTGCATAACTCGATGATCTAGCATCACCTAAAGCAGATGATCCTCCTGATCTGTTGTCAGAAGGTCCATAGTAACCTAATGTTACATCATAATGTCTACATCATTCACTTCACTACTTCTTATCACATAGGCATTTTATTTTACCACCTCACATCATCACAGGAAGGGTGAGTACAGTACAATAAGGTATTTTGAGAGACAGACCATATTCACATAATTTTCTTTACAGTATATTGTAATTGTTCTACTTTATTATTATTGTTAGTCTCTTGCTGGGCCTAATTTATAAATTAAACTTAATCATAGGTATGTATGTATTGGAAAACCATAGTATATATAGGGTTTGGTATTACCCATGGTTTTAGGCAGCCACTGGCTGTCTGAGAACATATCCCCCAGAGTTCTTAAAATCATTCTATTAATTTTTGTCAGATAGTCCAAGGGTAAATCTTTACTTGGAAGAACATGAGCTTTGGAGTCTTAATCTGGGATGGAATTTTGGTCTGCCATTTATTTTTATTTTTATTTTTTTCAGTTGGGCCATCCTGCCATCTGTTGGCAGCTCAGCAGCAGCTCAGCTTGGGCCAGTAATCAAACTGGCGAACCTGTTGCTCAGAGCTCGCACTCTTGAGCGAGCTCTTAACTAACTGAGCCACTCGGCCGGCCCTGGTCTGCCATTTATTAATTGTGTATCCTGAACAACACATATCCACACATTTTAAAAATAGGAATTGTTACAGAAACTCCATAGAGTTGTGAAGATAAAATGGAAATAAAATATACAAGAGCGATTAAATAATATACCATCCACCCTACTTTTTTTTCTATATAATACCATCTTATGTGTGAAAATTTCTGGGTCACTCTGAGTTTAGGCTTCGAGTTAGAGTGTGTGTATAGTTATATTGTACACAAAATAATTCCAGCTCTACATTTCATGAATTGGAAGTCTTTCTCTAGTCTATAATGTGCTCCAATTCTAATAATCTCCTCCACTGCAGGATCTCACCACCAAGATCATGCAGCTGATCAGTATTGCTCCAGAGTACCTTCAGCATGACTTCATCACTAGCCTCCCTGAGATCCTAGGGGATTCTCAGCATGCCGATGTGGGGAAAGAGCTCAGGTGAGTAAGCACCTTGTTGCCATTCTAAGCAGGACTGTACTCTGGGAGCCTTATCATTGCAGCATGTAAAGAGTAGTAACGTGTTCCTTTTTATATGATAGAGGATGATATTTACCTACTATGAGTAGGGTATGAGATTTGATTGTTTTTCTAATAATGAGTATATACAAGTAGATCCATTTACTTTTTTTTAAAGGTATATACTCATATTATCTGTTGCAAATATGAAGTCTGGTTTAGGATTAGTTATATAAATTTGGTCTATGGAGATTGACACATGATCCCTTTGCTTCATTAGCATTTCCTCCACCCAGGTGTCCTCAATCATGTCTGCACATCCAAATCATTTGTGGAGCTTATCGAACATCTACATACTTTGGTTCCTAAATGATTCATTCCAATGCACATTGCTGCATCAGATCCACTGCCGAGAGTCACTGATTACTATCATTTATAGTAAATGATGAAATTTAGAGTAAAAAATGAAAAATAGTAATTGGTAAGGTAGTAATTAAGGGGAGAAAAATATACTTAATAATGTTTCTATTTTAATGCAGTTTCTTGCTTATCCTAGAAGTAGTAGTTAAAAAAAATTGGTTTGTAATACTCCCTTTTCTATAGCTGTCTGCAGAACTACCTCCAAAAATGTTTAGTGATTTCTTACCTTTATACTTTTGGACAGGACACTCCCTCTGGGTGTAGCACTATATCATCTACTCTACCTGCTTAATTCTAGCTTATCCTCCTCTTAGAATTTATCCCTGTCCTTCTCTACCCTGTGCTCCTGTAGCATCCTGCACATACATCTATCATATTTATTACACTTCATTGTAATGGTAAGTTTTCTTTTTCCTTTTCTCAGGAAGGATATGTACCAAACTCAATAGTGGGTTACCTCTGGGTAGGGGCATGGTGAGGGAGGGTTTCTTGTTTCTACTCTGTTTGTTGTTTGAATTTTTTATGATGAGCATTTTTTTACTCAAAATTTTTAATGAAACATACTATAAACAGACATTTACTGGGAACTAACTATATCCTTTCTTCCCATACTCTTGAGTGGTTTTCCCAAGTCATTATCTGCCCAGCTCTTTTAAAAGTTGCACAACTTTTCTTTTTCCGCCGTGCACAGTGACCTTCTAACAGAGAATACTTCACTCACTGTCCCAATCCTGGACGTCCTTTCCAGCCTCCGACTTGACCCAAAGCTCCTGTCTACGGTAGGACAGACTCTGCTTTCCAGAAGCAGAGCTAGCTTTCTCACCTTTCATAACCAATGTTAGTCAGTCATTGCCTTGGAGCAATTGTGTGTAATAAAAGTTTCCTTTTGAGGGCCGGCCGAGTGGCGCACTGGTTGAGTTGGCTTGGGGTGCCAGCTCTGAGCAGCAGGACCCCGGTTCAGACCCCACATTAGGGCCAGTGACGCTGCGCCCTCTATAGCTAAGATGGTGAACAACATCTCAACCTGGAGCTGGGCTGCCATGAGTCACTGGCGACGGCATAGGCTGCAGTGGAACTGCAGTGGGCTGCTGTAAAGCTACCGTGAGTGGCTGGTAGCCAGCGTGAGTGGTCGGCAGCCAGAGTGAGCTGCCATGAGCTGCCATCCAGGGCCCGGTGACCGATCTGCCTCACCTGGGAAGAGTGCAATGATAATACCAACATGGACCGGTGAAGCGACATTCTCCACAACTAGACTGAAGAACAAAACGACATCAACTTGTCTGTTCCCCTTCCCTGATTCCCCAACGCTGTTCCCCTCCCCCAATTCCCCAATAAAATTTATTTTTTTTTTTAGCTGAGCCATCCTGCCAGCTCAGACCCATGTGGGAATCAAGCTGGCGACCCTATTGCTCAGAGCTCGCACTCTTGAGCGAGCTCTTAACCAACTGAGCCACTAGGCCGGCCCCCCAATAAAATCTTTATAAAAAATAAAAATAAAACAATTTCCTTTTGAGACAATATTGAATGACTTTTGAGCTCTCTTTTCTTTTTGATGAATTTCATATGCCATACTGTGATAAATTTGCTGCCCTGTTTTAAGCAGTAAGTTTGAGTAGAAATCATCTATATTGCCTGAATATTTTCAAACTGCTCCCCTTTAGTAATCACAATTTTTTATGCCTTCCTCTAACCAGTGAAAAATTCAGGCTCCAAAATGTAAGGTAATAATGCATTTATTACAAGAAGCTGTGGTGTTAACAATTGAAAGCTTGTAATTTGGTAAAAAATAAAACAAGGGCGTTTTTCTTTCTAAATTGCAAGTTAGAAAACTGAGTGAGAGAAGTAAGTTTTCTAATTTTACTTGCCAAGTCAGTAGGTTGAGGTATTAAGATGAAAATATTTAAGGTTTTCATGCTTTTTATGTTTAGGTCCGTCAGTTGATGATGAATAAGCTGTCATCTGTCAAATTGGACGATTTACCTGTGATAATCAAGTTCATTCTTCATTCTGTAACAGCCACAGATGCACTTGAGGTACCCTATTATTTCCTAACAAACACCAGTGGGGTGCTAGATCCTGAAGACTACAAAGAAAAGCAGTGGTGACCTTGTGAAACTCACTCAGCAATCAGAAAAACACGAAGTTAGATGAAGATAAATTATTTAAATTAATAGATTCTAATTGTTTTTCTCTGTCCCCAAACTAATTGATAATGCTGATTAATCCAGATGGTATTTAGGGGAGAGAATGGAGCTACTAACCAGTTTTATTGTTCTACATAAGATGCTATAGGTTATATTTGCTATTTCAGTGTAATACCTCAAGAAGTTCTGGAATTTTGAAAGGCATGACATACTATACTTGCATTAGGTATTTTCACCAACTCTCTTTTTCAGAATGCCTTGTCTAACATTTAATAATTCTACTTCCTCAATCTTTCAGGAGATTGTTATGGTTATCCTATTGAGAGAGTGGACTGTGCGTGTACATTATGCACGTAGCTTATATTTGTTTTCCACAGGTAATTTCTGAGCTTCGGGAGAAGTTGGATCTGCAGCATTTTATTTTGCCGTTATGGTTGCAGGCTTCCCAAAGCAAGTTGAAAAATAAAGTACGAATAAGGTATAAGCTTATCAACAGTTACCACCCTTTTTTTCACATAGGCAAGGGAAGTTTTCTGACATTTATCCTGTAACCAGGACAGCAGATATTAACCAGACAATTGTTAATAGTGGTAGTAATATCACACTCATGTAATTGTATACATCTTTTAAATTACACACACACACACACACACACACACACACACACACACGGTGCCAAAAAAATGTTTACACATTTTAAGAAAGGAAAAACTATTATTTATAATAATATATACTGATAACAAAAGATGAATACAAGTCACGTTTGACTTCTGCAATTACAAGAGGTACTCAAAGTGGTTACCATCAGCATCCAGACACTTCTGATTACGGCAAACTACTGCTTAAGCATAGATAACATCTCTTAAAATGTACATTTTTTTGGCACCCTGTTTGTGTGTGTGTGTGTGTGTAGATACATAGATATAGCGTACTCGTGTGTGTATGTATATATGTATGTATTCTCTTGACTATTCACATCAGTCTCTGATAGACTGCAGAAGTTTATTAGCCATTTTACAAATGTAGTTGTGACTTGTTTCAAGGTACATTGGCTAGTAAACAGGAATCCAGATCTTACAGGTTCCTCTCTGTTAAGCAGAAGAATGATTTTTTTTTTCCCCTTCTGCTACTTGTAGTTTTTCAGGAAATCAAGAAAACAGCCATCAGGACTGTGTTTTTCTTCTCTTTGATGTAATAAAGTCGGCAGTGAGATATGAGAAAACCATTTCAGAAGCCTGGATTAAGGTGAGTGAGATCTTTGGAACTTTAAACATTAAAAAGAAAATGGGTGGCAATCAGTGACAGATGTATAAGTAAAGGTAGGTTGAAATAAAAGTCTTAAAAGTCATTGAAGTAGAAATGATAGGTGATGTTGCCAGGTGAGCAGATTGGTTCTCAAGTAAGAGAACAGAGCATGCTGAATAAGGCTGGAAGTGTTTTACTTATGTGTTGTAATATATTTGTGACCCTTGTTTTTCCAGGCAATTGAACACATTCCCCCAGTGTCTGAACACAAGGTAATGTTCATGTACTATGAATTTTAAGTATTGCAGACCTAAAATTACTAAAATTGGCTAGTGCATTTTTCCTGCTTTCTTTTGCTCTCTCTAGTCATCCCTTCTGTGCCCTCTGTAGCTGCTAATAAATATTACCTGTCTGGGGAAGATGATATGAGTGGGGGTGACTTGTCAGATGGTCTTCCCTACTCATTTATTCTGGCAATAAAATAAACCTAAAATATCCATAATGGGAAATATTGACATTCCACACAAGCATAGTGAGTTGCAGTTAATGAAGCCAAGTCCCCACTGATGAGAAGGTGAAAATGAGTCCCCTGGATAATGAGACAAGTCTTTTTATCTGCCCTCCCTTCCACCAAACAGAATTTGTCAAGATAATGGCTTTCCTTTGCCCATGTAGACCTGATCAAAATGAATCCATCCATTGTCAAGGCGATGGTACTGAATCTGTCTAAATTCTGGAAATATTTTCTTCTGTCTAGAAGCCAGATTATTGAGTTTCTTATGTACTGCTTGGTTTCCTTTAAGGTTTTCTTTTAGTTGGAATCTATTTTATTTTGTGACGTTTTATTTTTTGTTTTTTTTCTTAGCTGAGCCATCCTGCCACTTGTTGGCAGCTCAGTGGCTGCTCAGCTCGGGCCGGGACTCGGACCGCTGTTGCTCAGAGCTCAAACTCTTGAGTGAGCTCTTAACCAACTGAGCCACTCGGCCGGCCCCTGTGAGGTTTTTTTAGTTTGATTATTTAATCATTGGATGACTATTTAAAAAACTTTTATGATATTGAATAAAGCAATGAAAAAGTCAATAACTTTTTGTGGGGGGAAAAAATAAAAATATACTAACACAACTGCTTTTATTTTTGCATGACCCTGGCTACCTGCATACCTATTTTTACAGATTTCTAATCATTGTATAAATATAATTTTGTATTCTGATTCTTTTCTCCTTATATTATGCCAAAAACATTTTGCATGCTTCTACATTTTCACTTTTAGTAGTTATATTTTGTTCTCAGTCTCAATTTTGGTATCTAAATGAGTGGGACCTTTAGGAAGGGATGCCCCAAGTAATTTTGTTTTGTTTTTTTTAATTAGAACACCTAACCTTTATTAAAATATCTTCTTTTAGTTGAGCTATAATTGACATATTAGTTTCAGGTGTACAACATAATGATTTGGTATTTGTATGTATTGCAAAATGATCACCACAATAAGTAGTTAACATTCATCACCACACAATTATGACTGTTTTTTTCTTGTGATCTAACCTCTTAGCAACTTTCAAATATATAATACAGTATTTTTAACTATAGTCATCATGCTGTACATTGCATCCTCATGAGTTATTTATTTTATAGCTGGAAATTTGTACCTTTTGACTCCCTTCACCAGTTTCGCTCATGCCTCACCCTCTGCCTCTGGCAACCGCTAGTCTCTGTATTATATGAACTAGTTTTTTTTTGTTGTTTGTTTTTTTTAGGTTCTACATATAAGTGAGATCATACAGTATTTGTCTTTCTCTCTGCTTTATTTCACTTAGCGTAATGCCCTCAAGGTCTACCCATGTTGTTTCAAATGGCAAGATATATCACATTTTCTTTATCCATTCATCCATCAGTGGATGCTTAGGTTATTTTTATGTCTTGGCTATTGTAAATAATGCAGTGAATGTGGAGGTGCCAATATCTTTTTTTTTTCTTTTTTCTTTTTTTTATTATTGGGGAATTAGGGGAGATTGGGAACAGCACTGGGGAATTGGGGGAAGGGGAACAGACAAGTTTCTGTCCTTTTGTTCTTCAGTCTAGTTGTGGAGGATGTCGCTTCACTGGTCCAAGTTGGCACCATCATTGCGCTCTTCCCAGGTGAGGCAGATCAGTTGCCGGCTTCTGGACAGCCGCTCACTGTGGCTACTGGCCGCTGGCTATACACGGTAGCCCATGGCAACCCACTGCCACAGGGGCTGCAGCCTACGCCGTCGCCGGCGACTCATGGCAGCCCAGCTCCAGGTTGAGCTGTTGTTCAGCATCTTAGCTGTAGAGGGCAGTGTCACTGGCCCTCATATGTGGGATCCGAACCAAGGCCCTCTGGTGTCCCAAGCCAGTTCTTAACCATCGCGGCACTCGGCTGGCCCCGCCAATATCTTCTTGAATTAGTGTTTTTGTTTTCTTTGGATAAATACTCAGAAGTGGAATAGCTGGACCATATGTTAGTTTTTTTAATTTTTTGAGGAACCTCAGTACTCTTTTCCATAGTGACTGCACCAATTTACAACCCCACCAACAGTGCACAAGGGTTCCCTTTTCTCAGCATCCTTGCTAACACTTGTAATTTTTTGTTTCTTTGATAACAACCATTCCAACAGCTGTGACATGATATCTCGTTGTTTTGATTTGCATTTCACTGATGAGTAGTGATGTTGAGCATCTTTCATGTACCTGTTGGCCATCTTTGGAAAAGATGTGTGTCTTTGGAAAAATGTCTGTTCAGAGCCTCTCCCCATTTTTAATTGGTTTGTTATTTTTGCTATTGAATTGTGTGAGTTCTAAGTAATTTTTTTTCCTTTTTTGTCCTGCTCGACTTTTTAACCTTTTTAAAAAACATAGGTAATATAAGCTAATTGGGGAGGGAAAAACTCCCCACAAGGAATCTAAAAATGTTAAAAATAAAGTTTCCTCCCAATTTTTGTCCTGTTGTTCAAGCATAATCATTCTTCTAGATTTTTTTCCTATTCATACACAAGTTGTATATGTGTGTGAGTGCAGGCATGCGCACTCTTATATGTACTTATTTATTGGGTTTTTTTTCTTTCTTTTTAATTAGTTTCAGGTGTACAAAACAATGTGATAGACATTTCACTCCTCACAAAGTGATAACCCGCCCTCCCCAATCTATTGTTTTTACAAAAATAGAATGTTACTATGATTATTGTCTTGCAGGTTGCTATTTTTTTTATTGCTCAATAGGTTGTCAAAAAATAGTCTCATTCTTTGTAACGGCTGTATAATATTCCAAAAGTGACTATCATAATTATTTAATCTTTTTCATATTGACAGACATTTACAATCTCTCCAACTTTACACAACGTAATTTTCCTAATAATAATGAAAATATATACTGATGTTGGCAAGTGATTTAATCATTTTCTTTAATAAATGAAAATATTCAGTTATTTCTAAAATATCACTTTCACTTGTACTCCAGTGTTTTCTTAAAGATACCAGTGGTTAATAGTTGTGGCACTTTGTTTCTCTGAAAAATATTTCCGGGTTTGTGAAAATGTAGGTTCTCACAGGGGCATGTTGAGCAAATGAGTATCATCCATTCTGTGTTTCAATGGGAAACATTTGAGAGCTGCTGTTTCATTGTAGTAAATGTACTGATTTATTAAACTATTTTCCTGTTGTTGCATATCTCCTGACAATAGAGTTTTGACCTGGCGATGCTTATCATCATCTATAGCACCAACACTCAGACAAAGAAGTACATTGAGAGGGTGCTAAGAAATAAGATTCGATCAGGCTGCTTTGAAGAAGAGCTGCTGCACAGTACATTTTGTATTCATTGCTTTGTAAGTGTCAGAAAATTGGACAACATTACTGTGAAAGTTACAGAGAGGTTGTTTTAACCTTTCCTACCCAGTGGGAATCCTGACAATACCACCTTTGCTGGATGTGGATCTTTGACAGGGAGTTCAGTATTTCAAAACATTATAGGATTCAAAGTATTATAGGATTTTTACTTACCTTAATTGAGATATTATGATGTTGATAAAGCCAACCTAAGATTTTTTTTTTCATCTTTTTAGCAAAATGGTCACAAAATTGATTTATGTTGAGCTTAGAGCCCCAATTTTTTTTTTGTAGAAGTATTTGAATTCTGGTCTTAATTATATACTTTTATGTAACTTGATTTTTAACCTAAAATGGAAGGCGTTACAGCTCCCATATAAATTTCCATCTTGTTCACTTCAAATCCATTGAGACTTGCACCTTAATTTTGCAGTAATCATTTTAATTAGCTCTGTAACCTGCAGCTTTGTTAAACTTGCCTTCTGTATCTGTTCTAAGCAGTTTTTTTAAAACCCTGAGCATAACAGGACCAAAGGAATGCTAGTAGGGATATAATTATGCATCAACTGAACCATAACTATTTGGCCATTCAACACTGTGACCTTAGATGATCATTTATGTTGAGATGTAAACCATTCAAATTAGAATTTTGTAAGCTAGTAATGGTGTTTTCAGGTTAATATTTAGGATTTTAACAGTGTATACCTTCTTAGAAAACTGGTAGACCAGTGGTTTGGGGCTTGGCATAGGAACTAATGGAAAAATGAAATTGGGTCTTTAAGATTTTGTATTTAGAAATGAATTTAATGTTTGTATTATTTTATCTTATGGTTCTTTCTGACAAAGATATGTTTTGGGCTATAATTTTCTAGAGAGCAGAAACCATATATAATTTTTTTTACTACATTTTCCTCAGTAAAGCATTATACCCAGTTCAATGCTTAATTTAAGATTTTTTTTATTGTAATGATATCCATAAAGAAGCTGGACTTAATAACTTAATAACAGGTTTTTTACTCTGGGTCCGTTAAGGCATCTTAATATCTTAAAAACACTGTCATGAACCATTCTCTTCTTGATCTTCTTTAAAAGAAATCAATTTAGTTAGCATTGAACCTTATAGATTGATTTCACATCATAACTACGGCAGAGCAGGCCTAGTATATCCCCAGGGAGGCAGTATGATTGAATGAGGACATTCTGATTTAGAAGACATGGATTCTAGTGCCAAATTGTGCAGATAGGAACAGTGCTATTAGGCTTGTAATTTAACATAATTTGAGCTTCGAGGTCAATTGTTATTTTTATGTTGAATCCCATTGATCCTGAGAGAAAACTCAGAATTATGAACGATTATTCTGAGTAAAACAAAGATTAAGGTTCCTTAAGTTAAAATGAGAGTTGGTGAGGAGAAATCTCACATTCCATAAGGGTTAGCAACTCTTGGTGCTATACTAAGTTTCTCCCATAGCTTTTTTTTCTTCTCTCCTCTTTCCCTGTCAAGGTTCTTAAGGATCTTTGTCCGTCGATTCTGTCGCTGGCTCAGAATTTGTTGCACTCCCTGGACCAGAGTATAATTTTGTTTGGCAGTCTCCTATACAAATATGCATTTAAATTTTTTGACACTTACTGCCAGCAGGTATGTTGAAATATTTATTTTGGAAAGGAGGGAAAAGGGAACAAACGCAATTCCAAGTGACTTGCATGTGATCTGATGTTTATTTCTTGTTGGTTGGAGGCATTGAAGGAGAAAGAATTCTGAACTGGGAGTTGGGAAAACTTAGTTCTAGTCCTGGTCTCAATAAAATGAAGAGATGGGACTGGAGGCTCTAACTCTGTGTTTTGAGCTCTAAAATTTTCTAAGTCTAAAATAAAGATCCAGATCCAGTGTACTTCAAGTAAACCACAGCTTAAAGGGTGGGGTTGACAGGTAGTTTTCACAGTACAGGAATTACAGTTTTAAAATTTAGTAGCAAATAATCAACTGCCAGTTGATCCTCAAGTGCTCTAGAAAAAAATGTGGCAAAAAAACAAATGAAGGAGAAAGACAGAGGGCTTAAACCTGTTCTCATGAACATGAGACACAAAATTTAATAGCACATATCCAGAGAGGGAGGGCTGTACTTGTGGAAAGTGGTTATAAAAACAAAGAACGAAGTGTCTTATTCTGTATTTGTTATATATGCTATGCCTATTATTAACAATATTAAAACACATTTGAATGGAACTCTTAAAAATGAAGATAAAAATTTAATACAGGGCAATTGACTTAGCTGGCATGAGCTAGCTATTGCAGTTGAGAAAGCCATACGACTCAGTATGGAGCAGCAGTATAAAGGAAAGGGAGAATGCCTTTAAAACATTTTTGGGAACCATCTTAATGTCTTAAAAACACTATCATAACCCATGTTTGCTTGAAACATACAAGTCTAACCGATAAAAACTTTCACAATCTTTTACTCTTTAAGTGCCATTTTTTTTGTAGATTAAGTACAACTACAATTTAAAGGCTAATATTTAACCCATATGAGAAAGAGAAAGACTACATCAAGGAACAAAATCAGCAGGGCTTAGATAGTGCTCACTGATAAGTTATGGGAAATGACCAAATGGTAGCGTAGTTAGATTGGCATAATCCTAAACCCCCTGAATCCAACATTAATGTAAATTAGATTTACATTAAATAAAATTAGACTATGGGTTAGGGTTGGTTGGGATTTTAACCAAGCTGAGATTGGAATAGCCTCAGACATGAACCCCTTTAAGATGGCCCTACCATATTTTTGCTTCACACTGCCCTTTTGACTCATCTCTGTATAGGAAGTGATTGGTGCCCTAGTGACCCATATCTGCAGTGGGAATGAAACCGAAGTTGATACTGCATTGGATGTCCTCCTAGTTCTAAACCTTACTGCTATGAGGCTGAATGCTGTCTTTGTGAAGGTATCTAGTCCTATTGACATCTATTGGATCATTTTTCTTTTTTGCATATATCTGAGGGATAGTTACTATCTGTTAGCAACAATTTATTTTGTACTCTAAACATTGAGAACTATAATTGATAGGAGGGGGCAAGAAGGAGGTGAGGTGATGGGCAAATAATAGAAAACAATAACTCACCTATCTATGTATTAATTCATGCAGCAAGTACTTCTTTTACTTAACTATGTGTCAGGCTCTATTCTGGGTGCTGTGCATACAAAAGTTAGTTCTGACATTTAATGATAGAAAGTAAGACACATAAGCAAGTCATTATAAATACAACATGATGAATCCTCTAATAAAGTTCTTTAGATACAACAGAGCAGAAATAATTAATTTGGATTGGGGAGCTGAAGACATCTTCAAAGAGGAGATAGCATTTCAGTGATTCTTGAAGGATGGGAATGAGTTGATGAGAGAAAGTAAGGGAAGTACATGTAGGCAGAGGGCAGTTTGAACAGAAACAAATTGGCACCCAGTCCATGGTGTACATGAGGGATGACAAGTAGACTAACATGACTGGCGAATAGGATATATGGTGAGAGGTGGTGGGAGGTGAGACTGGGAAGACATAGGACAGAGACAGATTATGAAAGGCTCCAGATACCATGCTAAAGGGTTTCACCTTTATTTTGTAGACATTAAGGACCTCGTCCAGGTTTTTAACAGGGAGTTGACATAATCAAATCTGGGCTTTGCAAGTTAACTGTAGGTCATGTCATCCCTATATTAGGGATGAGAAAGCTGAGGCTTTGCCCAAGGTCAGAAAGTGAGTAGTTCCCCTGTGACCCCTTCAGAAAAAATAATTCATGGAGTAGAAGCTGAGGAGGGGTGATGCGATAAGAAATAAGGTAGAGACATGACTTTTGGCAGAATATTGTTTTCACTAAGAAAAAGGGAAGGGTGGAGAAAAAGAATAAGAAGAACTAGGAGGTATGTTAGGATGACTAAGCAGAATGTCGGCCCTCTGGTCCCTGAGCATACATAGCTTTAGAGAACTTGAGCTTTTGTGGAACAGATGCCTGGCTATCTATGTATACCTCTTATAAGGATTTAATGTTTTTTGATTTAAAGGAAATAAAATGTTAGTTGTTAACCACATTGTTGGCATTTTCCCCCCCCCCACAGGGCATTTTAGATTACCTGGATAAAATGTCCCCTCAGCAAATACGAAAACTCTTCTATATTCTCAGTACACTGACATTTAGTAAACAGCATGGAGGCAGCAGTCATATCCAGGTAAGAGGCAGTGTGTTGAGAAGGAATTTTAAACCTCTTCTATTGAAATTTACTGGGAAAAAAAAAACATCACTCCAGCCTGGGTAGTAGTAGAAACAGAGTACATAACCATAGTCTCCAGCATTTGTTTATTCTTTTCTTACCACAGACATTAAGTGCCTACTGTGTGCCAAGCACTGAGATGTTAGGTATATTAGACCTTCTGCCCTTAAGGAACCTACTCTGTTAGGGTAGAAATGGGTCTGTAATCAGCTAACTATGAAACTGAGTAAGAAAAGCCATTCGGTTCTATGCTGAGTACCTTGGCACAGAGAATTCTCTTGTTCCCTAAGGAATATCTACATCTAACGTGAACTTCACCTGGGCTTGCTTTCATTTTTGGACACCATTTATTGAAAAAGTCAGGCAAAGGACTAAAATAAGAGAAGAGATTTAGGTTGGAATCATAACTCATAGCTCTTTTGTATCTTTGGTGCCACCCTGTGGCAGTAATCCATACTAAACTATGACTTTGAATAACCAGCGCCATTTTTTAATTAAAAAAAAAAATGGTTTAAAAAAAAAAGGCTAGGTAATATGCATGGTACAAAATTCAAAAGATATAGAAAGGTAGTGAAAAGTAAGTTTCCCTTTCAGTCCTCTAGGGATCTAATTCTCTAAAGGCAATCACTTTTACCATTTCATAGCTTTCTGAGATGTTTGAGCATTTACGAACTTGTATTTACCTGTATTCCACTCTTTACCCTCTTGCTCTGCATCTTGAGTTTTTCATTTAGCAATGCATTTGGAGATTGCCTCACATCATTAATATGTTGTCATTTTATTTTTTAGTTGTGGTAAAATACACATGACACATTTTACTATTTTAACCATTTTTAAGTGTACAATTCAGTGGCATTAAGTATATTCACAGTGTTGTACAACAGTCACCACTATCTATATCCAGAACTTTTTCATCATCCCAAGCAGAAATTCTATACCCGTTAAACAATAACTCCCCTTTTCTCTCCCCCCACCCCCACTAACCTCTAATCTACTTTTTGTCTCTGAATTTGCCTGTTCTAGGTATGTCATTTAAATAGAATAATGCAATATTTGTCTTTGTGTCTGGCTTGTTTTTCACTTAGCATAGTATGTTCAAGGTTCATCTATGTTGAAGGATATTTTAGGACTTCATTTCTTTCATGGTTGAATAATATTCCATTGCATGTATATACCACATTTAGTTTATCCATTCATCCATTCATGGACACTGGCCTTTTTCCACCTTTTGGCTCTTGTGAATAATGCTGCTATGAACATGAGTGTAAAAGTGTCTCATTGAGTCCCCATTTTCAATTATTTTGTGTATATACCTAGGAGTAGAATTGCTGGGTCACATGGTGAGTCTATGTGGTGATTCTGTAACATTTTGAGGAATCACCAAACTGTTTTCCACAGTTACATTCCCATGAACAGTTGAGGGTTCCAATTTTTCTACATCCTCACCAGCACTTATTTTTTATTTTTAAATTATAACCATCCTACTGGGTGTGAAGTGGTATATCACTGTGGTTTTGATTTGCATTTCCCTAATGACTAACGATGAGCATCTTATCATGTGCTTACTAGTCATTTGTATATCTTCTTTGAAAAACATCTGTTCAAGTCCTTTGCTCATTTTTTAAATGGATTGTTTTTCGTTGTTGATGTGTAGGAATTCTTTATATGTTCTGGATATTAATCCCTTACCAGATACATGATTTACAAATATTTTCTCTGATTCTGTGGATTGTCTTTTCACTCCTGATAGTGTCATTTGATGCAGTTTTGATGAAGTCCAATTTATCTATTTTTGTTGTTGCCTGAGTTTTTGGTGTCCTAGTTAAGAAAAACTATTGCCAAATCCAAAGCCATAAAGATTTTCCCCTGTGTTTTCTTCCAGGAGTTTTAGATTTTTGGCTTTTAAACTTAGATCATTGATTTGCTTTGAGTTAATTTTTGTATATAGCATAAGGTAAGGGTTCAACTTCACTTTTTTGTTTATGGGTATCTGGTTTTCTTAGCATCTTTTGTTGAAAACAGACTATCCTTTCTCCATTGAGTGGTCTTGGCACCATTGTGGAAAATCATTTGACCTTTTTTTTTTTTTTAAAGGTTTTATTGGGGAATTGGGGAAGGGGAACAGTGTTGGGGAATTGGGGAAGGGGAACAGCCAAGTTGTTGTCCTTCAGTCTTAGTTGTGGAGGGCACAGCTAGCTCAGCTCCAAGTCCATTCGCCATCCGGCCACCTGTCAGCAGCTCGCAGCCACTCACTTCAAGGTGCCGTGTTCAATCTTAGTTACAGATGGGCTAGCTTACCATCCCATGCAGGAGTCGAACCGGCAACCTTGTTGTAGGAGCATGTGCTGTCACCAGCTGAGCCATCCTGCCACCTGTTGGCAGCTCAGCGGCAGCTCAGCTCGGGTGCAGCTCACTGGCCCATGTGGGAATCGAGCTGGCGATCCTGTTTCTCAGAGCTCGCGCTCTTAACCAACTGAGCCACTGGGCTGGCCCTCATTTGACCTTTTATGTGAGGATTTATTTATGGATTCTGGATTCTATCCATTGGTCTATATGTGTTATTACATTAGTAGCACACTGTTTTGAGTACTGTAGCTTTGTAGTAATTTTGAAGTTGGGAAGTGTGAGCCTTCCAAATTTGTTTTTTTTCAAGGTCATTTTGGCTATTTGGTATTTGGGGTTCCTTGAAATTCAAAATGAATTTTAGCATGGGTTTTTCTTTTTGCAAAAAATGCTATTGAGATTTTAATAAGGATTACATTGAATGTGCCTATCACTTTGAGTGGTATCATTATCTTAACAATATTAAGTCTTCCAATCTATGACCGTGGGATATCTTTTCATTTTTTAGTAGTTCTTTAATTTCTTTCAGCAATGTTTTGTAGTTTTTAATGTACAAGCCTTTTGCCTCCTTGGTCACATTTATTCCTAAGTGTTTTTCTCTATTTCATTATTTTTGCTGAGCAACCAACAACATTATGATAATTCATATATGCTTATTGAGCAGCTATCACAACAGTAACAATAATAACTTGTTATTGAGTGTCTGCCATGCACCAGGCATTGTTTTAGGAATTTTTCATAATTTGTCTTTGATCCTTTCAAAACATTCCCCATTTTATAGATGAAGAAAATTGAGACTCAGAGAGATCAAATTACTTGCCAAAGGCCACATAGTTAGTAAATGATAAACCCTTGGTGTTCTAGGTTTTTTGGCTCTGATATCTGTAGGCCCTTTTGCTGTACCATTCCAGCATCTTCATTTTTCTCTATCATTGTCTCCTTGCAGGATGACATGCATTTGGTGGTACGGAAGCAGCTCTCTAGCACCATATTCAAGTACAAACTTATTGGTATTATTGGTGCTGTCACAATGGCTGGCATCATGGCGGCAGACAGGTATGCATGGAAATTCGGACTTCTGTGGCTCAAGTTCAATTAATCAAGTTGCTGCCTTACAAAATAAAGTATTACATTGTGTAGACATCATTATAACAGTAGACATTAAAATCATAAAATAAGAGAAGTGAGCAAATGTTTGTTGCTACTTTTGTATGTCCTTTTCCAGTCTTGACTGTATATATCATATACAGTTTTTTTTGTTTTTTTGTTTTTGTTTTTTTTTTAGCTGAGCCATCCTGCCACCTGTCGGCAGCTCAGCTTGGGTCGCAAATCGAACCAGCTACCCTGTTGCTCAGAGCTCTCACTCTTGAGCAAGCTCTTAACCAACTGAGCCACTCAGCCGGCCCTACCACATATAGTTTTTACAGAATTGTGATCACAGTCATTGTAATCTGATAAATAAAAACTAGGGATTGCCAGGCTGGCCGAGTGGCGCGTTGGTTAAGAACTGGCTTGGGACACCAGAGGGCCCCGGTTCGGATCCCACATATGAGGGCCAGTGACACTGCCCTCTACAGCTAAGATGCTGAACAACAGCTCAACCTGGAGCTGGGCTGTCATGAGTCACTGGCGACGGCGTAGGCTGCAGCCCCTGTGGCAGTGGGTTGCCATGGGCTACCGTGTGTAGCCAGCAGCCAGCGTGAGTGGCCAGCAGCCGCTGTGAGCAGCCGTCCAGGAGCCGGCAACTGATGTGCCTCGCCCGGGAAGAGCACAATGATGGTGCCAAGTTGGGCCAGTGAAGCAACGTCCTCCACAACTAGACTGAAGAAAAGGACAGCAACTTGTCTGTTCCCTTTCCCCCAATTTCCCAGCACTGTTCCCCTCCCCCAATTCCCCAATAAAATCTTTAAAAAAAAAACCCCAAAAACCTAGGGATTGCCAAGAAATAAAAGTTCTAGAAATTTTTCCACAAAAGGGGAACCCTGATCCTTTTGAGATGCATTTTTCTGCACCTGCTTCTATTCCAAGCACTAGACAACACAGGTTTCTCTATTGCTGTGTTATTCCTGTCTGGGACATCATGGTTGATACAAATAAAGTATTCCTATGGATTTTTTTGCCCTTGTACTTTGATGCAACAATTGTTGCATCTAAAGAAGTATCAGATTTGGGGCTTGATAAGACATTGCCATTGCTAAATGATGTTGGAGTATAGTTCATGCTCCTTGGAAGTGATTTGTCAGGAATTCCTGAGGCCTCAGGAGACAGTCTTAGAATCAGCATTAGTAATCCTTAGAGGCTACACAATGTACTAGTTAAGAGTTCATTCTCCAGAGCCATACTTCTTGCCTGGGGTCAAATACTGGCTCCATTATTTATTAGCTGAATGATCTTGGGCAAGTTACTATACCTTTCTGTGCCTCTGTATTCTCACATCTGTGAAATAAAGATAATAGTAGTATTTACTTCATAGAGTTGTTGAGAGCATTAAATGGTTAGAACAATGCCCAATGCTTGCTCTTGTGATTATTACTAATTTTAGTGTACCCTTCAAAAAAGTCTGGAGAGCCATTGTTTGCTCTAATCCATAGTTTGTATGGCCTAAATAAATACTCTGTGCCTTCATGCACTTTTATCTCCACCCCCATCCCAGGGAAGGCAGGATTCTTAAACTTATTGCCGTTTGTTATAAAATATTACATAAGTGAAGCTAAAATCCCTTGTTTTTAGAAGTAGATCTTCCAGTTTGACCCAAGGGAAAACAGACCTGAGCAATGAACAGTACACACAGGTGAGTTCTTAATAATGTAGTTGGATACATTTATGAGGAATTGATATTGGTCACTGTCACTTTACCAAAAAGTGTGCAGCTTTTTTCAAAATGTTTTCCTAGACTCATAGCTTTTATGATTTGTACCACTCGTACGGCAATTATCATCTACTGGCTTGGGTTGCATTTATTTCTGTATTTGTCTAATCTCCCTAATTAAGTCATAAATTCCTAGAGAGCAAGAAAGATGGGCCATGTGTGAAGAATAGCAGATTGACTAGAGCATAGGGACAAGTGAGTATAATTGGAAAGTTGGAGATAAAGCTAGTTTGGAGATAGAAAACAGAGGGCCATGAATGTGAATCAAGGCATTTTGATTTAATTTTTTGTGCATAGGTAGTCCTTAAGGGTTTCTTAGCATAGAAATGGCATAATCCAAGCTTTGCTTTCGAAAAATTAGTCTGGCTGCATGTGTCTGATGGATTGGAAAGAGACAGACTGGTTCAGAGGTTCAGGAGAACCTCAGGTGAGAGGTAGTAAGAGCTTTGCCAGTGAAATCGAGAAAGGGAAATCCTACTGAATAGCTAGATGGTGTTTAGGAAGCATTGGCAGCCCAAGGGCCAAACCACCCTCTCTTCACTGCTCCAGGTGACCTCCTTACTGCAGTTGGTTCATTCCTGCAGTGAGCAGTCTCCTCAGGCCTCTGCACTTTATTACGATGAATTTGCCAACCTGCTCCAAGAAAGAAAGCTGGCTCCAAAAGTCCTGGTAAGGCCAAGTGTCTTTTCTTAGAGCAACAAAACATGAGGGCTCTTTACGGTACATTCTTCAAGTCTTTCCCTCTGTTGCACTGCAAAAATAGATCACTCTGTGAGCTCTCCCACATTCTAATTGGGGAGGCTGTTCTGACTTCTGTCCCAGGCCTGTCCACTAATGGTGAGGTGTTGATAACTTTGTTGTTGATGATGTTGATAGCCAGCATCTATTCTACGCCACGCACTGTGTTAAGCACTTTTCATGCATTATGTCTTTGCTACTTCATAATAATTAGGTGTGTATTATTGCTATTTCCTTTTTAGAAATGAGGAAACTGAGGCTTAGAAAGGTTCATAATTTGTCTAGGGCTTCATAGCAAGCACACCCTGGACTACACAGCCTTTTTTGTTTGCTTCCTGAAGGAATGGGTTGGGCAGACCATCCTTAATGATTTCCAAGATGCCTTTGTGGTGGACTTGTGTGCTGTTCCAAATGGGTAAGTACTGTTTACTCACTGACTTGATTGTACTGGTGAAGAAATTATGTCAGTAGCAGGTACAGACATCAGACTGCCCTTGACCTCAGCCAAGTCTAGCCCATTCCCATAGCTTCTTTCCTTCCAACTCTAGAACCCCCAGCTCCAGAATTGCTAAAAGGTTCCCCACTATTCTTTCTCCGGTTTCTCATTTCTCCTCATAATAGGGGAGATTGATTTGTTCTAGTGGTTTCCCCCATAGATTTGCATACTCTTGAGTTGGGGGCATAAGATTCTGGGTTCTCTCCACAGTGACTATCCATTTCCTGTGAAAGCTCTCTATGGACTAGAAGAATACAATAGTTGTGATGGGATTGCCATCAACCTCCTGCCACTGTTATTCTCTCAGGATTTTGCAAAAGATGGGAGTAGAATGACTTCACAGGACTCAGACAACAAGTCAGTATACTTTTCTTTTCTAAAACCTCTGCTAGTGTTTTGAATATTCACAGGGAATTCCACAGTTCTTGGAATCTGTGAGGAACTTGATAGAAAAGGGTCTCTTCAAGACGGGAGATATTTGGATGGGTTAGTGAGAATTGGGTAGATGCCTTGTTTTTTTTCTTGGACCCTGGGGTTGGGATTTGCATTGCCTCATGACAGCCACCAGGTTTCTGTGAGGCTATTTTCGTTTTCTGTTCTTTTTTCCCTCCCATGGACATAGTTGTCTTTATCTCTGGCACTCTCCCTCCTTCCATCTTACCTCCGTTTCTCCTAACGTATGGGCATTCATTCTACCCACCTTCTATCTTCTTCCAATTCAGTTTATTTATTACTTATTTGCTGAGTATCCATTAAGTTTCTTGTCATAAGTTCTTAAATGTAGACATTTATTTTGGGCAAAACTCAATTTAATTATAAGATTGGGCTCCCTATAAATGTGGACTAATATGCCTATAAACTGTGATCTAGAAATGGATTTTTCCTTCCCAGATTGGTGTCTCCGTTGTGCCTGCCTCCCTATTTCCGGTTACTGAGACTTTGTGTGGCGAGACAACATAATGGAAACTTGGAGGAGATTGATGGTTTATTAGGTATAGGATGAAATGATCAGATCCTTTCCTCTTTGTAACTTTTCTTTGGTAAACTTGAGGAAAGGGCAGACCAATTCATGGTGTGTGTGGGAAGGAATTTTCTAACTTCACAGACTAGTATAGCAGTAATAATGGAGTTCCAAAGTCAAAATAATACATACAGAATTCCATCACGTTAACGTATCAATTGTTATTGTAGTTCCATGTTGCTTTCTGGTCATTGCCCCAATAATTGTTGCAAAGACTTCTTAATTATATTTGTTGACTGCTGCATAATATGGAAGTATTTTTGAGACTGATCAAAGCTTGATCTTCACATACAAGTTAAAGGGGAAAATAGGTAGAAAGAGAGCTAGCTCTAGGGGCAGTATCCAGGTTCTGTTGAGTTGAACTAAAAGGAGTTAGATATGTTTGTTCTCTTTCAGATTGTCCTATATTCCTCACTGACCTGGAGCCTGGAGAGAGGCTGGAGTCCATGTCTGTTAAAGAGCGTTCGTTCATGTGTTCGCTCATATATCTTACTCTCAACTGGTTCCGAGAGGTGAGCAGAATTAGTGGAACATTTCACCTATTATCTGTAGTTCCTCTCAAAAGGAAACTATTTTCTTGGTTCTCATGAGAGTCCCTAAAAAGTCTCCACCAAGCACTTACCCTGTGTACTTCTGCAGCTGTTAGGTCTCCCTCTTCCCTAATTGTATGTACCTTCTGATGTAGAGAAATCGAAATACTAGAATTCACTTAAAATGTTGCCCATGGTTTACTACCTCCACACCTTCTTACAGTATATACTTACTTCACTTACTTCTGTCTGGAATAACTTCACCTTCTCCACTGTGAAAATATTATTCATCCTTGCACAGGTATATAACGTTTCGATTCAGTGAGATTAATTGAACGGTAGTTGTCCCCTTCCTTTAGAACATATTGGTACTTAATGAAATGTATAATAAGGAAAATGAAATGATGAAAATGATAGTAACATCTTACATCTATATTACACTTTTCTCATGCATATTATTTCTGAGAATGTTCATCCACTTGAATTATCTCTTCTTCTCATAATTATATTATGACGTAGGCAAGAGTGGTTATCCTTTTTATACATGGAAGTGCAGGTACAGAGAGTTCAAAGTCATTAAAAGTTATCGAACATTTTTACTGTGCCAAATGCTGGGTTAATTTCTTTATTTACACTATTTAACATATAACAACTGCACTCCCATTTTATAGTTGAAGAAATAAAAGCTCAGAAAGGTTAAAGACTCGGCCAAGGGCACACAACTAGTAAGTAGCAGAATAGGACTTGTTTCACCAAAGTGTGTGCTCTCTAGCCACTCTGCTATTCCATCTGTTACTTAACTTGTAATAAATAGAATTAGGATGAAAAGTCAGATCTCCTGTATTGGCCCAGGGCATTTCCTCTACAGCACCTTGCTGAGAACACTTTACATTACAGACTAAATTCACAGACCCTGCTGCCAAAGAGCATCTTTTAGCTCTGGATGAACAATGTAAACAAGGTTAATATCTGAACAGCTCAAAGTATGAGAATAGAATTTGTATTTTCGCAGGTTGTAAATGCCTTCTGTGGGCAAACGTCACCTGAGATGGCAGGAAAGGTGCTCACCCGGTTAAAGCACATTGTAGAGCTACAGAGAATCCTAGAAAAGTACTTGGCAGGTAAGGGAAGTGTCCTACTCAGACAGCAGTGAGGAGATAAAGAACTTAGCTCTTCAGCCAGGCTCAATGATAGCTGTGCCCTACTCATGCGTAACACAATTTTAAAAATGAGTGCATCCATTTTCCTCCCACTGTTAACCTCCAAGAGCTCTTGCTGCTTAAGAAATATAAAACATTGGTTGGGCTTTTGTAAAGTTACTTTTCTTCTTTGGAGATCAAACTTCCAGTGCCATTTGCCTTCCTGAACATAATTATGAACCAGTAGTAAAGCCGAAAGCTCTTGATACCTTTTGACCAGTCAGTAAACTTGTCCTTTTAAAGTGGTGAGTTTATTCTCTGGTGAAAACATGAAGCTTCCCTCAGTCACTCATCTAATAAATAACTGTGTGTAAAACCAACTGTAATGTGACCAACTATTGCTAATATCTTTAGATTATAAATATAAGTTAGTTTATTTTTAGCTCATATCTGCTTGGATATTTTATATAATTATTTAGAATGGTTTTATGTTAATCATAATCAGTTAATATGATATTCCCATAAGTTATCTGTGGCTATTTTCTTATGCCAAAACAGTTAATGTCAGATGACTTGAATGCATCTTATAGGCAGTTACCCATGCCTGGTGTTCTGGAAACTAGTTTTTATCCAATTTGGTGATGAAGCATTCCTAGTGTAATGGTGGTATATGGTTGTTATATGTTGAGCTTCTGCCTGCTATCTGTTTCAGTTACCTCCGACTATGTCCCTCCCCTTGCAACCTTTGACTTGGAAGCTGTAGATGTAATACCTCATACCAGTACTGCTGTTTCAGCTAAAATCAGAAAACAAGGAATGATAGGTAAGTATGTTCTTATCTTCTTATTCTGTGTCTCCATGTGAGCTACACTGAATTGACCTAAGAGGTTATACGCATCAAGGCATCAGTAATTGGAGAGATTATGTAATTGAACCATTTCTTTGGCATGGTTATAAATGTACTATAATTTGGGGTTGTAAAATTACCTCCTCTGTCTCTAGGTAGTCTTTAGCTGGTCGTTTCCTGAAGGCAGTGATATTTAGCAAACATGATTTTTGATTTCTTGAAACACTTTTATTTTTGAAACAGGAAGTGGAAGGAAACGAAAAAGAGGTGACAACAAAACATCCTCCCATGACACACTTTCAAAGGAGGATGGTTCAGAATGTGACCCTACACCATCTGATAGAGGCCAGCTGGAAAAGGTATTGGAATGATGCATATCCATGAAGGTGTGTGAAAGCCCAGTGAGATTAACAAAGGGCCAGCTTTATTCTCTGCATTTTATAGAGGGAAAAATTAGGGAAAGGAGAAGCAAACAAACTCTCCTGGGCCTTGCAGTGTCCCTCTCAGTAGCAGAGTTCAGGTTAATCTCCAGGTTCTTATTACTACCACACACTGTTCTTCCTTTATTTTCTTGAACATTTTACTCTTTTTTTTTTTGCACCATAGCAGTACTTTAAATTCTCTCTTGTAGCAATTATCAAATTCTGTCTTCAGACGTAGTTATAGATATACTTCTTTTAGCCTCTTTCCCCTTCTGATCTCAGATTATCAACTTCTCAATAAATTGAGGTAACACGAAATGCTTTGTACAGTTTCTGGTACTTAATAATCAGTAGTTCCCTTTTCCTGTAACTCTGTACCCCTTATAGTAGGTTTTATGTGTTTATGGTATTGCCTGAACCACATGGATCCCAATTATTTCTGTTTTTTAGCTACTATTCATTGAGTATTTATTATGCATAGCTCCTTTATCCTGCTAAAAACCCAAGGTTAATAGTCATAACCACATTTGATAGATGAGGCAACTGAGACCCAGAAATGATAAGTGACTTGGCCAAGGTCATCTGGTTAATCAGTGCTTGAGCAAGGACTAAAAGCCAAATTTTTCTTTTTTTAAAAAATTAATTTTGGGCTGGCCAAGTGGCTCAGTTGGTTAAGAGCGCAAGCTCTGAGCAACAGCGTCACCAGTTTGATTCCCACATGGGCCAGTGAGCTGCGCCCTAGCTGAGCTGTCAACAGGTGGCAGGATAACTCAGCTAGTGAGAGCACGTACCCCTAACAACAAAGTGTCCGATATGACTCCCGCATGGGATGGTGGGCTACACCCACCTGCAACTAAGTTTGAACATGGCACCTTGAGCTGAGTGGCCGCGCTCCACAACTAAGATGGAAGGACAACAACTTGGCTGTTCTCCTTCCCCAATTCCCTAACACTGTTCCTCTTCCCAATTCCCCAATAAATCTTAAAAAACAAAGAAAAGAATAAAGAAAAAGATGTTTAAAAAAAATTTAATTTAGGGCCGGCTAAGAGGCGTGATGGTTAAGAGCTGGCTTGGGATGCCAGAGGGCCCCAGCTCGGATCCCACATATGAGGGCCAGTGACATGCCCTCTACAGCTAAGATGCTGAACAACAGCTCAACCTGGAGCTGGGCTGCCGTGAGTCGCTGGCGACGGCGTAGGCTGCAGCCCCTGCTGCAGTGGCTTGCCATGGGCTACTGTGTGTAGCCAGCAGCCAGCGTGAGCGGCCCGTCCAGAAGCCGGTGACTGATCTGCCTCGCCTGGGAAGGGCGCAATGATGGTGCCATCTGGGCCAGTGAAGCAACGTACTCCACAACTAGACTGAAGAACAAAAGGACAGTAACTTGTCTGTTCCCCTTCCCCCAATTCCCCAGCACTGTTCCCATCCCCCAACTCCCCAATAAAAATCTTAAAAAAAAGAAAAATTTAATTTATTTTCTAATTACAGTTGACATACAATATTATATTGGCTTCAGGTGTACAAAACACTAATTAGACATTTATATACCTTACAAAGTGATCATCCCAATAAATTTTTATCTGACACCATACATAGTTATTAAATATTATTGACTATATTCTCTATGCTGTATTTTACATCCCCGTGACTATTTTTATAACTGGCAGTTTGTACTTCTTAATCCTTTTTACCTTTTTTATCCATCCCCCCAAACCTCTTTTCATCTGGCAGCCATCAATTTGAAGAAGCCAAATTATTCTGTCCCCTAAGCTCACAGTTTTCTGTACCACACCGTGATGCCTAATTTGTCTAATAGTTCATCTCTAAGTAGAAACTTACCAAGAACCTCAATGTATGACCTATATCCCAGTATTAAATTAGGTGCTCTGTTTTAGGAGTATTTAAGGACTTTGATGGAAGTTGGTGATGTGATGAAAATGTAACTTAGCATAAGATGAATGCATTATTGCGCTTCGAAATCTTCATTAAAAATTACACTAAATAGAATCCTTATTTGTTCTGTTGGTTGCTGCCATTTTCTACCCAGGAGCTCAAAGGGAAAGAAGAGAAGACAGTGGCACTACAGAATTACCATGCTTTTTTCCGGGAGCTGGACATGGAGGTCTTCTCTGTTATGCATTGTGGGCTTGTGACCAAGTTCATCTTAGATTCTGAAATGCACACTGAAGTAAGTGACCGAGATGAAATCCCAGAACTTAGTCTTCTTTCAGAAAGTGCCTCAGCTCTTATTTCAGAAAGAACACCATGACATTGTGAGAAGTTGGACTCTGCATTCCAAAACCTTTATGTGAAAGTAAAGATGAATAATCATCCTTATCATCTTGATATTTATACTTCTAAGTTTTTTATGATGTGAGACATTATAAAAGATCGTGCTGATGGGGTGATCCTTATCTTCGTTGCTAACAATAAGCTATTTAGATTACCCTTGTAGAGCAGCACTGTTTCAGATTATAGAGGTCAATGCTATTTTCACTTTTTCATGGCATTTGTTCAGCATCTACCAGATGATGCTTATCGAGACCTTTGTTGTGTTTGCCGCTAATCTAGACATTGGCACCTCAGAAGTACATACAGTATGATGCTTGCCTTCAAATAGTTCATAATCTAATAAAGGTAGTAGACATAACTAGCAGTACGTGTTATATTGATGGTTTGAACCAAGTACCAGTGAAACAGGAGAGAATAGTATTTATAAGGAAATTGGAAGTAGAAAACATTTTCACAGAAAAAGTTAACTTGATACGGGATTTCACCAGTGAGTAAGAGTTTCTGCAGTTAAAAAAAAAAAATTTGATAAATAGCGTGGATTTTTACCATAGATTTTTACAAGAATGTAAGCTGCTTCAGAACAGACAGTATCTTTTTTTCAATCTTTCTATATCCGCTTGTGCTTGGAGATTCTCCATAAATATATAATGAGTGTATAGTTTGAAGTAATACTGTATTTGACCCATTCTGTTTCTGGTAGTGTAATACACTTTAGAGATCCTGCCCAGAGTTGGTAGCAAAACATTAGGGGAAAGAAAATGAAAGGATTATTTAAGGAAAAGAGAAAAGCAAAATTCCCTTGAGTTAGTCATTTTTTATCCCAGGGTACATAGAAAATGCACCTTGGGTCCACAGCTGGAAGGATACACAGAGGCATTTATTTCTAGAGAAAAAGTGTCTTCTAAAACTATGCTGCCTATTAAAATTTTATTTTAATAATTTGAAGTTTTGTTTTAATTTAGAAATGCTTGACTTTTTGATTTGTTGACAGAGTACAACAGCCATTTATACGAAGTGGGGGAAATTTTTCCTTTTTTGATAATGGTCAGATTTTTCACCCATTGGGAAGAGTAAACATGAAATGTGCTCCCCAGAGTAGATGGCTAGGACATGCTTTAAATTATTCTTTCTTTCCCTGTGCCAGGCTACAGAAGTTGTGCAACTTCAACCCCCTGAGCTGCTTTTCTTACTGGAAGATCTCTCCCAAAAGGTGGAGAATATGCTGACACCTGTTGGCAGGAGAATCCCCTTCCTCAAGGTTAGTATAAGTGGAAGCACAGTCCCTAGTCTTAGTGGATTTGGAAACAAGGAGATCTTAGTAGCGAATAAGTTGTCACTTTCTCTGGCATTGTGTTTGGGTCACTGGGTAGCATGGTGGCAGCCTCATTGTCAGACCACATTCACCTTGCTTTCGAAAGGAACTCTGAAATAGAAAACAAAAAAGCCACCTAAAATAGGAAATACAGTAAAACCTTGGATTACGAGTAGGGTGGTTTGCACATGTTCCGCAAGATGAGCAAACATTTCTAATACATTTTAACGTGGTAAATGAGCGATGACTTGCAATACAAATAGTTTGTTTCCAGAACAAATTATGCTCGCAAACCAAGGTATTACTGTATATTTCTAAATGCCCCAAGCATTCCTGAATCCTGTTCTGTGCTTGGGTTTTGGTTTTAACAGCCTCCTAAACTAAGCCCATGCCCAAGTTTCAGTGTAGTAGTTGGCCAGAACCTTGAATGTGTATATAATGTACAGATGTGCAGATGTGCCATGGCATCTGATGAAGGAGTTGGATGATGCAAACAACAAGATGTGAAAATTTAAGGTGTAGACATTTAAACAGTCATATATCCAGCTACTTGATTCTTTCTTCTTTGTACTCACTATTTGCTCTACGTTCTTATTAGCCTGAATGATTTGTATTTCTGTGTGAGCTTTATCTCATTAGTAATTATGGGTCTATACTTTTCAAACACTGGTCGTACTCTGCAAAAGCCAATCTCTTTGTTACTTGATGATGGAGCAAGATTTTTCTTCAGAAAGAGTCTTAGGCAAGCAGTTATAATAGTTTGTTTATCCGCCTCTATTTGGTGGCACAGGTTTAACTAAACCCCATAATAAACTCTTAGTTTCAGACAAGTTATCCAGCAGTAATTCTGAATTTATTATAGAGTAAAGGAAGCCAGAATATTGGATTCTCACATCTCCATCAGAGATCTGCCAATGAAGTTGCTCGTTGTGTTGTTCAACTGCTGACCCCAATGTGTAATCATCTGGAGAACATTCACAACTATTTTCAGGTCAGAAGCCTATCTTATCATTATAGAGACTTAGAAATCACTAAGTGAACAAGATATATAATTTTTGACTAAGAAAAATGGAAGGAAAACGAGAGCAATTGCTGAAGCAACTGTCCCAAACACATTTTTTCCTTTTAGTGCTTAAATGCTGACGATCAGGGTATAGTTGATGGACCAGAAATGCAAGTTCAGGAGTACCACCTAATGTCTTCCTGCTATCAGAGGATACTGCAGATTTTTCATGGGCTTTTTGTTTGGTGAGTATGTGGCAGTTATGGTAAGTAGAAGTAATCCGGTGTGTACTGGATTTTACTTGATAGTCACCAAGGCACTAAGGTATAGAAAAAAAGGAAAAGGCTCCAAAGCCTTATGTAAATACGGTACTTATTCTTTTTGGAGTGTTTTTGTCTGCATCCTTCCATTTGATCTTACACCCTCTGTGTCTCATGGAGTCACTATTATTAGCTCATTTGAAAATTAGGTGACTTGCTATTGGCTAACCTGTAACAAATCTGGCCATATGATTCTTAGCCGAGTTTGCCATGACAAGCTTTCTGTAATAACACTGGAGAGATTGTTACTTAAGAAGTTGTTACTAAACAAGTTCTGGATAAATTCCAGATTATGTGGTAAAGAGCTTAGCACAGTTGGAGCTGGGGTGTTTAGCAGTGGGACTTCATCAGACCCTTGAAGGGTAGATGACCTTTTGGGATGTAAAGGAAGGGGCTGGAAGAGCCAACATGGATGAAAGTAGAAATGAGGGAGGTGTGTCCCCTAAATGCTTTTGTTCTTCAGGGCTGGGCCCTGGCCACTCTGTTCTTATTATATAGGTTTCCTGGGCAGTTGCACCCAAGCTTAAATTTGTGCTAAATTTTTTTTTCTGAGCTACAGGCATTTATATCCAACTGCCTACTCAACACCCCCTCAGATGTGTCATTTACACCTCAGACTCACCCCATCTAAAACAGACTGTGTCATCCTTATCACTGCTCCTTCAGCTTTGCCTGGCTTGGTCAGTGGCACCACCAGCTGTCCGAGCCAGAAACCAGAAGTCATTCTTTGCCCCTTCCTCTACTCTCTTGCTTCTCTCTCACGTGGGTCACAAAATTCTATTGATTTTATCTTCTAGATAACATCTAAATAGCCACATGTTCCCCTCCTTCACCACTGCTTCTAGACTTCCGTTATCTCTCACCTACTAGATTATTTTCACAGTTGGTCTCTGCCTCCAGTTGCCTTCCCTTGGTCCATTCTTCACATAGCAGTTAGAGTGATCTTCCCAATGCAAACCCAATCTTATCCTATCCTATCTTTGGGCTCTGATTGCTCTTAGGTTTTTCTTGAGTTCAAACTCTTTTTACCTAGCTTATAAGACCTTTTTTTAAAAATTATTTTATTTTATATATATATATAAAAATACGCGCGCACACACACACATATATATATTTTATTAGTTTCAAGTGTATACAAGACCTTTTATTATCTGACTCCTGCTAGCCCACTCATTGCCTTGTACTCTGCCCTCTAGCTCTACTGAATTAATTTCAGCACCCTCTATAGCTTTCATCTGAAATGCTTCACACATACTCATCCTTCTACTAGGATCCCCACCCCTCTTGATCCCCAGTCTTTTCTAACTCAATCTTGAGATCTAGATTTAAACTTCCTCAGGGACACCTTTTCTGATCCTTAGGCTAGGTAAGCCTCCTTCCTGCCCCTCTGACCCCTAGTTTTTTCGTAATACTCTGGTATCTTCTTATGATAAAACTTACTACATGGTATTATAATTACATGTTCACCTGTTTTCCCTGCTGTATTGTGAGCTCCATGAGGGCCGAGACCAGTCATTGTTGTATCCTCAGTGCCTGACAAAAGACTTGAACAGATATTTCATCAGGGAGACATATGGATAGCAAATATACACATGCAAAGATGTTCAATAGTATTGGTTATTTAGGAAATGTAAGTTAAAAATCATAGTGTGGCTCAATTAAAAAGATTTACCTTGCCAAGCTTGGTGAGGATGTGGAGCAACTCAAATTCTCACATGCTGCTGGTGAGACTATGAAATGGTACACATACTTTAAAAAACACTTTTGCAGTTCCTTAAAAAGTTAGACATACACCTACCATACAACCCAGCCATTCCACTCTTAGGTGTTTACCCAAGAGAAATGAAAGCATATGCCTAACACAAAATCTTGTGCACAAATATTTATAGCAGCTTTATTTGTAATAGCCCCAAACTGCAAACAACTCCATGTCCATCAGCCGGTGAATGGATAAACATTGTGCTATATCCATGTGGTAGAATAATACATGCAGCAATATGGATGAAAAAAGGATTATACTGAATAAAAAACAAGACCCTGAAAGTGTGTAATATTTGATTCCATTTATATGAATTCTTAATAAAGCATATAATCTTGTAGTGACAGAAAACAAATCAATGGTTGTCTAGCATTGGGCGGAGGATGAAGGGAGGGGTGGATTACAAAGGAATACAAGGAAACTTGGAGGTAATGGGTATATATGTTCATTATTTTCATTGTCATTATGGCTTCATGGGTTTATTTATATATAAGTCAATTGATCGAATTCAACATTTTAAATACATGCAGTTTTATTGTGTGTCAATTTTACCTCAATAAAGCTGTCCAAAGAAAAAAGTAAAGAACCTGACCCTTAAACTTGGGGAAAAAAATTTAGAAAGAACCTGACCCATAATAGGCCCTCAGAGTACACTTGTTGAAAGACTACCAGTGGTGTTGTGGAAATGTTTCTAGAGGAGTAGATCTAGGGGGTCAGATTGTGCTGGGATTTGAGGGTCAGGCAGAAGAATTTGAATGTTGCCCTGGGAAGCAATTTTGGAGTTTTATAATCATAGCCATGAGGTAATGAAAGCGGTGTTTTAGAAGAATCCTTTTGGCAGCAGTGTGGAGGAGAGATTAGAAGGGAATGCAAAAAGATGAGTTAAAAGGTGTGGCCATGATCTACACATGAGATGATAAGGGCCTGGCCTAGAGTGATGGCCTCTGCTTGGAAAGGAAGGGACCATAGGAAAGAATTGTCAAGACTTGACTTACTAATATAGAAGAAGGAATAAGTTCTTTATTGAGCACCGACTATGGATTAGACATTGATTTAGCAGTTTGACAAAATTATTCCTGATTTTTTTGAGAAAACTGAGACTTATCTCCAAAATGTAGGGAATGAAGGAGAGTTTTTTTCCCTTGAAACTAAACCTAGGTGGATTGTTAGGTCTTTAAGGAAAAACTGTTTTGGGTACACTTCACCTTATAGTCTAACACTCAGAGCTATGACTGAATTTGGCATTGAGTACTTTCAGTACATTAATTCTCCTTTTTCCTCTGTTGACTTGTTGATGGTACAGACTAGAGGCCACGATCCTCAAATGCTGTCCAAGAAATCTTCTTGAAAATAAACTAAATCATCTTACCTTGATTCTCCCTTAGGAGTGGGTTTTCTCAACCTGAAAATAAAAATTTACTGTACTTAGCCTTTGAGATCCTTACTAACCGACTGAAGCAGAGAGAGCCTGACCAGTCCTTGGAGGAACTGCTCACGTGAGTCTGACTACATATCCCAGAGAGTTTCCCAAGATGCTCCTAGGAACAAGATTGGCAAGATTTCTTGGAAATAATTTGGGTGTCTCTCAGTAGTTGTGAGGGAAATTGATATTTTCAGTTATTTTTTCCTCAGTTATATAAGCTTTCTCACCTATGTATTCAGATAAATCCTGAAGCATCAGAAACCATTGAACAAGTCATACTAAATCTTCATGTATCCTTCATCTTGTAAAGTTTGCTTTTTCAGGTAATAATGATGACAGCACTGACCATCTATAGTCAACTCTTGTTAATCCCGAGATGTACCCTGTCCCCCAGTAGGGTTGGGTAATTAGGCAGCAGCTGGCTATCACTGATTGCCTGTATCCTTCCCCCAATCTTGGAAGAAGAGGAGCCTAGGTTGAGGGCTAGGCGGTAGAGGAGGGAGCTGGGAAGGCGCTCCAAGGGGCATTGCTCCCAGCCTCCTACCCCAGGCTTCAACCAGACTAATGTGGTTTTTCTCTCATGTCCCTTGATAGCCTAGGCTATCACTGGGTCTGCAATCAGTGCTTGTCATCTCTACCTTTAGGGAAGGACCTTCTTTCTTTCTTTTGGACCTTATTTTTTAAATTTGTTTGACCTCTTTCCCACCAATCAATCAGGAGTTGACTCTAGTTTTAGTTCAACTACAATTTTAAATTAAATAAACCCTATCTCCCATTGCTTTAGTGTACTGAAAGGTGACCGTTTATGGTACATTTATTAAAAGCTCTGCTGTCTCTGCCTTATAATTTCCTTTCACTTTGTCCCTATGGACCCAGAATTTAAACATTTTCTCAGTGTGTTGCCTAAGACCTTAAAGGGCCAATAATTGATCCTGGGTTGCACATATAAGCATGGCCTAGACTAACACTTGGGACTCTTGGAACGCATGACCCCTTCAAGGCCTGCATCCCACTCTCTGGACTCTGTTCTGCCCTAGCTTTCTCCATACAAAGTTATAGTTCTCTATCAAGGTCTTGAAAGAAGGTTGCTACTAAAGTACCTGAAAATGATTCTGATTAGACCTTCAGACACTTAAGTGTACTTGAACAACTCATAAATTTAGATATACCTATAACACTTTTTTTTTCTTCTTTCCTTACAGCCAGAGCTTCCATTACTTGCAGAATTTCCATCATAGCATTCCCAGTTTCCAGTCTGCTCTTTATCTCCTCAGACTTTTGATGGTCATTTTGGAGAAATCTACAGCTTCTGCACAGAAAAAAGAAAAAATTGGTGATGGGCCTAGATTCTATCTTTTTTTTTTTCTTCATAAATAGGATTAATAACTCAAGCTTATAAGCTTGGGGCTTTCTCAGACCTTGTATGTTTTACATGTAAATCCCCCCAAAACTGTGGATGGCAGTGCCCTCTTGCTATACCAAGAAGGACATTTTCCCAGAAGGAGCCATGACTGATCTCTGGTAATATTGCTTAGTCTGAATTTGGTTAGTTCAGTTGACTAGATAATTTTTTGTTTGGCTTCTGTTTATTCATGTCCTTCCTTTATTTAAATTATCTGAGACATTTGACAAAAAGAGACATAAACCACGAGGTTAATAAAATGGGAGAAAAAGGAGAAATCAGGATTAAGTGTAAAGAAAGTACTGGCCTCGTCCATGATCTTTTTCTTTGATTATCTTTTATCATAGCTCTTACAATGCAGCTCACTGATTATACATACTGATTGGCAGCACAGACAAAAAGCAAAAAGAAAGTGCAAAACAAACCTTTGGTTATTCCCTGTTGATTAACACGGGAGGGTTTGGTCTGAATCTAGATGGCCACTGCTTGTTGGCCTGCTCAGGAGGAACAAGATTAGTTTTCCCACTGCCTGGCAACATTCTTTTTCTCTGTGTGTGTCCGCAGTGTGTGTGTGTGTGTGTGTGTGTGTGTGTGTGTGTGTGTGTAGTGAGAGGGTCTTAGACAAATGGGTTTATTTCTGGTAGACCAGCCAGTGGAGCAGGAGGAACCCATGACAGCTTTTTTTCAAATTATCTGTCAGACCAGGAACTTTATAGTCAATATAAAAGAATAATTCTTTTGATCAATAATCATCTCCAAAAGCCTGAAAAACAAGAGTGAGGTCTATATTCCACACATGAGATAACTTGGTGTTGTTTCTCCAACAGCTTCTCTGGCCAGACAGTTCCTCTGTCGGGTGTGGCCAAGTGGGGAGAAAGAGAAGAGCAGCATCCCTAACGACCAGCTCCAGGCTTTGCTTGGGTGAGGTGCTCAGTTTCTGTCAAGAAGCCAAACAGTCTTCCAATTTGCCACTTTTGCAGTCCCTCATCTAGTCAAAGACTGAGCAATTTCCTTGGTTAAGGAGAACTTGGAAGCAATAAAATAGGCTTGAAATAACAGAATTTTGAATATGTGGATCATAAACTTCTAGTTCTGTTTTCTATTGTCAGCTAGTTTCTTATTATTAAATCATACAGGGAGTAGAGGAGTCTGCAGTTGTATCCTGTCTTGTTAACCAATGAGTCAGATATTTATTTATTACCTACCATATCCAAGACACATTCATGACTTTCAAGGTATCTAACTATTTCCAGTTGAGACATCATTTTCTTTACCTCCTGTCAAGTATCTGGAATCTTTATTTTATTTAAAAAATTTTTAAACGTCAATAGTTGTTTTGAAGTTTAATACCTGGTAGTATCTTAAGAAAGAGTCTTGATTTAGGAATTCTGTAATAACGTGTGTTTGTACTCCTGTGGCTACTGATGCAGCATCTACCTGGAGCACACAGACAGTGTTCTGAAGGCCATAGAGGAGATTGCTGGTGTTTGTATCCCAGAACTGATCAGCTCTTCTAAAGATGGGTCTTCCTCCACATTCCCTACACTGACCAGGTAAGGGAGTTCTCTCCTCCGCTCTTTCCCTAAGTTAGATTCACACTGTCCAGTATATGTAGTTTCCAAATAACTGCCTTATTCTTCATTTGATTCTGATAACAGATGGTAGGTACAGTCATTCATTTAACACATAGAATGTCTACGTGTATTCTTTCCAAGGGGCTCTCAGCCAACCCATGTGACATGACCTTATTGAGGAATGAATTTTCAGTAGTTACAGCCTTCAAAGGCAATGAATATTTAGTCACCAAACTTCACCTATCAGTACTTTCATCCTTTAAACATGAAATTATTTCTCCAATATTTTAACCACCTTTAGAAAGATAAAGTGATTGTTGTATCTAATCATGTGTATCTCACTTAATGGGTTTTGTGCCACATAATATTAATGGTTATTTTACATTCGTATGGCATTTATAGCCTATAAAGCACTTTTACATTGTTTATCTCATTTGATCCTTTTGAGGATTTTGTGAGGTAGATATCATTAACCCTATTTTGAGCATTAGAGGAAACTTGCTCAAGCTTATACAGGCAATAAAGTAAATATGGAGGTAGGAACCTAAAGTCGGATCTTCTCACCACTACTTCCTGGCACTTTCCATCTCCCAGCACACTATCTCCCTTCATAAAGTTAATTCCATTGTTTCACAGACCATCTACTTGGGCTTATTTCTAAATCCTTCCTACTCCCCCATCCTATTACAGTGGACCCTAGTGAAGGAGATGCAGAAAGGCGTGAAAGGAAATGACTTGGTTCCCTAGCTTCTTCCCAGGAAGTTCTTTCTAATGAGGGCATCATTGTGTGGGCGTGCATGCTCTTCCCCCTTTTAGGCACACCTTTGTCATTTTCTTCCGTGTGATGATGGCTGAACTAGAGAAGACGGCGAAAGGTCTTCAGGCTGGCACAGCAGCAGACTCGCAGGAGGTGAGTCAAATACTCCTACCTCCAGAAGTAGACTCTGGATTACAGTAAGTCTTTACTTAATGTTGTCAGTAAGTTCTTGGAAACTGCAACTTGAAATGAAATTTCCTTTAACAAAACCAGATTTACCGTAGACTAATTGATGTAAATAAGAGTTAAGTTCCTACGGCATATTTCTGATCACAAAAAATCACCAAACTTCTAAAAGAAGACCCATAACACTTCTAATATTAACCATGAAATAAATGTGAGCTATATGTACATTTAAGAAAGATTAATAAAAACAAGTAAGATGATTATTTTCTAACCCACTTGTTCTAGTTCAGGGTTGTGGGTGTCCATAGCCCATCTCAGCAGCTCAGGACGCATGGCGGGAACCCACCCTAAACAGGATGTCCTTCCATCTCAGGAACACACTCACACTCACACTCACACACGCTCATCAGACTGGGACATTAGACATGCCAATTAACCTGAAGTGCTCATCTTTGGGATGTGGCAGGAAACCAGAGTACCTGGAGAGAAAACCTACTCAGACAGTCTACACAAGACTGTGGCCCCAACCATGAGTAGATTTTTTTTTCCTCATAACAAAATGATGTTGAATGAAACAATGTTATTTGAGGACGAGCTGTTTTTGAAAGCTGTTGAATCTTTTAGTCCCTTGGTCCAGGGTTTATCCTAAACTATTTCCTTGGTTTACTGAGATCCAGGATTTTTTTTCAAAGAGCTCCTGGCTTAATTTCCTTTCCCTTTAGTTGGAGGTGAGGATTGTGCTCTGTTTTCCCTGGCTACTGCCCAGAGAAAAGCTTGGACTGCTCCGTAGACCCCGCCCTGGTAAAAATGTCCTTGTTTGCAGTTTCATGTGCCTGGCAGAGTGCTGCTTGTGAACTGGCATGAGGTGAGCAAGCCTGTTTGAGGTGTGGTACCGAGCCTTGGTAACCTGCTAACCAGAGCTAAGACTGCTGAGAACTCAGGCTGGCATAGGGAATCAGAGAAGTCACAGGGAGCTGATGGCCAGTTGAGGCTTTTTCCTACTTGGAAATGACTGAAGAGGAGTCATCTTATTAGTCTCTATAAGTTACCCTAATGTTTTCATGTACACAGGCCTCAGAACCATCTTCCAGGTGCACTAGTTGCCACATCTCTTTAGGAGGATAATTAATTGCCTTAAATCTCTGAATAGCTGTATAATTCAAGAACCGTGTATTAGTAGGAGTACAGTAAGATGTATTTGGCTTGTATATTTGGCTGTTTGCAGATTCATGAAGAGAAACTCCTCTACTGGAACATGGCTGTTCGAGACTTCAGTATCCTCATCAACCTGATAAAGGTAGAAAATGGAGGCTCCTTGACCCATCTCATTGGCTGACTGCAGAAACCAAGAATCCTAGTTTCCAAAATGGACTCTCCCTGCTCCTCTCCTCACCCTTCCTCGGGGACCTACTCTCCCCATCTTTTTCCTTGTGCCCCTACCCATCCTGTATAACCCCTTCTTCTTTCCCAGGGCAATGTCTTTTTCCTTCTCTCCCTTCCTCCTTGTCATCTGTGTCACAGTGTTCACTATTAAATGGCTCCTTCCACACATCATTCTCCCACTCTCTCTCACCTCACCTTGGGTCCTCTGTGATCTGGGCACATGTCCCACTATCTCCCTCTTCCAACCCTGAATGCCTTCTTTATCCCTCAAACACACTCTGTGCTCTGAGCCACTCCATGATTTTGCTCAGGCTGTTCCCCAAGCTTAGAATGTCTTTTTCCCTTTTCGTCTCTAATCTGCTCTTTCTTAAGGCTTCAGATCGAGGTTTGGGACCTCTACAATGCCATCTTCTTAACATCCCCAGTTGGAATCAATTTCTTGTTCCACTTTGCTCCCCTCTTCTTTTTCTTGAACTTTAATTATAATTATTCTGCTTTGTAATTAATTTAACTGTTGACAGACTTTTATTTATTTTTTAAAGATTTTTATTAGGGAATTGGGGGAGGGGAACAGACAAGTTGCTGTCCTTTTGTTGTTCAGTCTAATTGTGGAAGACGTCGTTTAACTGGCCCATGTTGGCATTATGATTATTGTGCTCTTCCCTGGTGAGGCAGTCACTCGCCGGCCATTGAACAGCCCTCACTGCGTCTCAGGAAAGCGCACGCCAGCTGCCGGCCAGTCCCACACAGCCTACGCTGTGACTCCCTGCAGCCCAGCTCTAGGTCAAGCTGTTGTTCACCATATTAGCTGTAGAGGGCGCAGGGCTAGTGTGTGATCCGAATGGGGCACTGTTGCTCAGAGCTGGCATCCCAAGCCAACTCCTAACCCACACACCACTTGGCGGGCCCCAGACCTTCATTTTAGAATTCTCTGCAATACTGAGAGCTGTGCTTTGTACAATGGGAAAGAGGCTGGGGTGCTCAAAGGAGCAGACCTCAGCTTTGGTTTCTTATCTTTCATCTCTCCAGGTGTTTGATAGCCGTCCTGTTCTGCATGTATGTTTGAAGGTGAGAGACTAACCGGGCCCTCTTTAGTATTTATTCTTCTGTGAGTCTCTCTAGAGGGCCTCAACTGGGAGGAATTGCTTAATACCTTGCCTACAAGCCACAGTTTTCCAAATCTGTGCTAACAGGTGGTAGTTGAGAAGAGACATTGGATACATTTCCCTATACTAGTTGGATAACTAGACAAGCCAATTTTCCTATGAGTTTGAAAATTTTTGGTTTGAGTCTTAGAATTAGGAGGAGTGGCTTCAGGGCAACTGACTTCAGGAGCAGTAGTCAGTCCCTGCCATTCCTGTGTAGACAACAGAGAGGAATAAGGAGTGCATGATTCTTTTTGTTTTTAAAGATTTTATTGGGGAATTGGGGGAGGGGAACAGTGTTAGGGAATTGGTGAAGGGGACCAGCCAAGTTGTTGTTCTTCAATCTTTGTTATGGAGGGCGCCAGTCGCCATCTGACTGCCCATTGGCAGCTCGTGGCCTCTAAGCTCAAGGTGCTGTGTTCAATCTTAGTTGTGAGTGGGCATAGCCACCATCCCATGCAGGAGTCGAACCAGCAGCCTTGTTGTTAAGAGAGCACACACTATACACTGAGCCATCCGAGCGGCAGCTTAGCTCAAGGTGCCAAGTTCAGTCTTAGTTGCGGTTGGGCGTAGTCCACCATCGAACAGGCAATCTTGTTGTTACACCAGCTAAACCATCCTACCACCTGTTGGCAGTTCAGCGGCACCTCAGCTTGGGCGCAGTGTCACTGGCCCATGTGGGAATCGAACCAATGGCCCTGTTGCTCAGAGCTCGCGCTCTTAAGCCAACTCTTAACCTACTGAGCCACTCAGTCAGCCCTGCATGTTTCTTTTTAAAGCCCATTGGTGGCCTCATGAATGTGGGAGCTCATATCCTCATAATTGCTGAACTCCTCTGCCATGGGAATAGCCCAGATTAGCCCTAGATTTACACAATGGGTTAAGAGCTAGTGAATGCTATGGGGAGAATACTTATTCCTCACTTCGTATGGTTCCTTCCAAGTGGGTATCTCCCTATTCTTCTGGCCTCTCTCTTCCTTTTTATTCACTCCACCCTGGTGCTAGTGTGGGAGATGGGTGAGTAGGGGGAGTGATTTATCTGGTTGGTAAGCTTGGCAGTTGGGCATGTACTTTCTCGGCTCTACCCAATTTTTTCCTCTTGGGAGTAAGTTGCCCTCAGGGTGCTGGGGTTCCTGTCTGTTCTTCTGTGTCCTCATTCTTTAGCTGAGCAAGGCCCCTGCCCATTGGCTGTGTCTAGGGTAGGTAAATGTGCCTAATTCTGGGCTTAGTTAACAGGTCCATTTAGTTTTTGCATTAAGCTACATTCTCCAAATTAACCTTTTGGCCCCTTCCCAATTTATTTTTTATATACAAAAATAAGAAAATATAATCCTGGGCTGGGTGAGGCTATGCTGCCTGAGGTGGGGCCTTTCAGGTGAAACACCTCAGCTAGAGGTCATTACCAGTGTGTCTCTTCTGTTTTTCAGTACGGGCGTCTCTTTGTGGAAGCATTTCTGAAGCAGTGTATGCCGCTTCTAGACTTCAGTTTTAGAAAACACCGGGTAAGAACTGAGAGTAGAGAACAAAGACATGCTCTGTACAGTTGTTCAGAAGATATTGGGTTGTCGGAAAAGTCATGATGCATTTTTTTTTTTTTTTAAAGATTTTTATTGGGAAATTGGGGGGATGGGAACAGTGCTGGGGAATTGGGGGAAGGGGAACAGACAAGTTGCTGTCGTTTTGTTCTTCAGTCTAGTTGTGGAGGACGTTGCTTCACTGGCCCAAGTTGGCACCATCATTGCGCTCTTCTCTGGCGAGGCAGATCAGTCGCCGGCTTCTGGACGGCCGCTCACTGCGGCTGCTGGCCGCTCACGCTGGCTGCTGGCCACACACGGTAGCCCATGGCAATCCACTGCCACAGGGACTGCAGCCCACGCCGTCGCCGGCGACTCATGGCAGCCCAGCTCCAGGTTGAGCTGTTGTTCAGCATCTTAGCTGTGGAGGGCAGTGTCACTGGCCCTCATATGTGGGATCCGAACCGGGGCCCTCTGGCATCCCAAGCGAGTTCTTAACCATCGCGCCACTCGGCCGGCCCATGATGCATTTTTGCAACGAAAAACAGAGAAAAAATACATCATGACTTTTCTGACGACCCAATATGTCTATGGTGACTCCTGGGTTGGGTGGGTGTGGGAACAGTCCCCCTGCCCAGGTTCTGGGCCACAGTTCTACTTCGGCACCTGGTCCACTTCAGAGATGCCCATTTAGAACTGAATATTCCAAAACAGGCTGAACTCCTCAGACCCACTCTGGTTTAAACCCACCTTTCCTTCTACTTCAGATCTGGGGGGTGGTTTTTCCTTTTAGCTTGATTTCATTGTGTTGCTGTACTTCCAGGACCTCATGCATCAGTGTGTTTGCTTATTCCTTTGTGCTTCTCTAGGTCTACTGTCAGGGATAATAAAAAAAAACCTCATTGATGTCATAAACCCTTTGCTCTCATAATGGACAGTCTTGAGAGTTTTTTTTAGCCAAGTGGGATCCAGGGCTAAAGTAGTGAAAGAAGGATAGAAACAGAGATTATTTCTCATACATATTTAGCAAGTTGAACTTTGCACAAAACTCTCACAATATTTGATTGGTCCCTCATAACCCTTAAAGAGAAGGGGGAAGATAGCTAGCCAGCAATTCTTCTATTTGGGGACCAAATTAAGTTGATTATTGATATACGGCCAGAATTGGCTAGATTTATCCTCTTTGGAGCCTTTGATTGCAAGGATATCTGGCATCTAAAATAAAATGAGAGTATTTAATATGGTGTTTATGAATTTTGTTGGCTATAGGAAGATGTTCTGAGCTTACTGGAAACCTTCCAGTTGAACACGAGGCTGCTTCATCACCTGTGTGGGCATTCCAAGGTAAGAGGTCCCATCACCAGCCTGCCTGTTGGCTTAATCAACAGTTGGAATTGGGAGATACACAGGCTTCAATTCCTTCCTTTTTATACCCTTTTTGAGCCTTTATGTCTGGGACTGTGTCTGTCCAAACGCAGTTTATTCAAAGTGGTTAAATCCTTAGGTGCTGGTTAAGATCCTGCAGTCATTTAGAGGGGTGTTTCTGCATCTGAAATTTGACTCAAACTCCATAGTCCTATTTCTTTTGGTGAGCAATATGGAATGTTGGTGCATGTGTTATTGCTACAAAGTACACTGGGTAGGAGGAATATTATGTAAGTGATGACTCTGCTGGAGACAAGAGGTGGTTCTAAAAATAGCTATCTTTAGAGCTTTTCAGCTGTACTACTTAACTTGTTAAGGAACACATCTGTCTCTTGTGAGAACATTTTAGCATTAAAGGACTTTTCCACTTGAAGCCTACAGTTGAATCATTGTCACTTTTTTCTAAAGAAGCATAGCAACATGGAGTTCTTTAGTCACTTGCAAACCAAATGATTCTTTAATCTAGTTCCTATTACTTACTTCCTCCTCTGCTTCTAACTTTATAAGGTGCTGAACTGGGAATTTTAAGGACTCTCAGCTAAACAGCTACTCTGTTGCTTAATATCAGTATAATGTATGTTCAAGAATATTATAAGTAAATTAATTGATAATTGGTCAATAAGAGGTTGAGAAGGGGGACCTAGAGGTATTGGTGGTATGTTTTCTAGGCTTTCTTAGCTTGAAGGACAGCTGCCATTCTCTTCGAAATACTCTGCCAAACTGCTGCTGTTTGATGGAACGTGTCTCTGGCCTGTACTAGCAGGGCTTATGCTTTCATACAGTGTTCAAGATGTCAGGAATGCGAAAGTTCCTGTGTAGGAAATGTGGAAGCATGATGATAAACCCAAATGAGTTAGGTGCATTTGTTTCCGTTCAGATTCACCAGGATATGAAACTCACCGAACATGTGCCTTTGCTCAAAAAGACCCTGGAGCTGTTAGTTTGCAGAGTGAAAGCCATGCTCATCCTCAACAATTGTAGGGAAGCTTTCTGGCTGGGCAATCTCAAAAACCGGGACTTGCAGGTAAGCCTGGGGCCCTACCAGCAATTATCTCCTACTCCTATTTGCGAGAACATTGGAAAGCATATAAGGGAGGTCACCTGAGCCCTGCCCTCTCAATAAGACTGCTTTTCTCTTAAGTCTGGGCTGTTTAGCTCTTAAAGTTAGAGTACATTGCCTGTGGGCCCTGGTTAGGGGCTGCACCCCTTATTCCAACCAGCAAAGGCCTAAATGTGCCACTGATAAAAACAAGGCCTCAGAGATAGAGGAGCCAGATTAATAAAACCTCTTCCCTCAGCCAGAGGGGCACCTTTAAGTCCTACTGAGGGTAGATTCATAACAACATTTTTGTCTATGGACAGACTTCTTTTTGGGGTTTTTGCTTAAACCAGTCTGTCTTATTCCTGAAATTATTCTCTGGCTAATTTTAACAAGTGATCATTTCTAAGGTCTTCAGTTATCTGATTAACTGACTGAAATCTTGTGTTGCTTATAGTACTGCCTTCGAGTGATAGCATTTTTCAACTAGGGCCCAAGCCCTTATTCATGTTTACAATACCTGAGTTTTATAATCTTATATTTGAAAAGAATATCACCCCAGAGAATTAGCTTCCTTTTGTGGCATCAACCTTATGAGGTAGATACTATTGTTTCCATGAGAAAATTGAAGCTCAGAGATGTTAAGCAACTTAGCTAAAGTCATTTCAGCAATGAGTTGAGCCAAGGTTTGAGTCCAGACAATCCTGTTCCAAAGTTGATGTTCTTAAACCACTTCAGTGTACTACTGTCCTTCAGCCTCTAAATGGCCATTCATGGTTGGTGTGTTGGTGCTCATATACGTTTAGGTATTTGAGAAATTTTAGAGCTGTATTCACATTAATTGAGTTACCAATACAATCTGGCCTTGTAAAATCTAGTATGATATTAGAATACAAAAAAGGGCTTTTTGTAAAAACTACATATTGTATCAAAGCCACATGCATCTCAGAAATCTCGGGTTGATTATCACTTCTCTAGATGCTGGATCACAGTTTGGTGCCCATGTTTGACCATGTTTAAATGACTAAAATGTCTTCTTTTGTATTTATTGCCTGTAAACTAAGCCTTTTCCCCTTGAGGCCCCAAATGTGATCATTATAACCCACCATTTGTCTTGGCCCATCCACATTTAGGGTGAAGAGATTATATCCCAGAATTCCCAGGAAAGCACAGCAAATGAAAGTGAGGATGAGACATCATCCCAGGTCTCCAAGAGCAAAGCAATGGAGGTATTTCTGCATAAGGCACCAGAGCATGGCATTGATGTTACATTTTCTGAAGTATTCTGAGTTGGTAGAGAGTGCAGACCTTTCCCCACTTATGTTTATAATCAAAGACTTCTATGCCCATCTCCGTTCTCTCCAAAAAAGCTTCTCTGCTTATATGAATTCCGTGGGGGACCAGGAAAAAAAAAAACCGGCATAGTCTTTTAATCTGAGTATCTCATATGTTACAGAGTTGAAAATTCCCTTCCATTATAGCCCCCTGTTTCTCTGAATTCATATCTAAAATCATTTTAGAGAGGAGAAAAGGTCAAAATGTTCTCTGAGTATTGAGAAGAATGAATTAAACCATTTAAACATGCTGTTTGACTAAAAAAGAAATGTGAACACATTTGATGAAAGCCAAAGCACAGAATCAGAAGCTGCCACCACTGAGGACTAAAATACGAATAGGGATCTTTATACTTTTCTGGGCTGCTACCGATACTTCCAAAACTTTAAAGAAAGCTATAGAAAAATGTATACGTTTATACAATTTTGTTACAATTCAGGTGGGTTATGGACACGGAGAAGCTCAGATTTAAGATCCCCTGCTGTGGAGCCTCCTTATAATGCAATTTGAGGCTGATGCAGAAAGATCTCCTAGTACGAAAAATTATTTTATTACATGGTCTTCTGTTTTATTTGTATAGAGTATCTCTACCTTATTCTCATGAAAAATTTGAAGCAGACAGTATCCTGTTAGTTTGGTACTTTCTCCTATGCAAACCTCCTGGATTAGAGTTGCAGACCAGAGAGAATTTTACACTGGATTCCTCTTGAAATACACAAAGAAATTTTATTTATTTATTTTTTAAGATTTTTATTGGGGAATTGGGGGAAGGGGAACAGACAAGTTGCTGTCCTTTTGTTCTTCAGTCTAGTTGTGGAGGACGTTGCTTCACTGGCCCAAGGTGGCACCATCACTGTGCTCTTCCCGGGCGAGACAGATCAGTCGCTGGCTTCTGGATGGCCGCTCACTGCGGCTGTTGGCCGCTCACGCTGGCTGCTGGCTACACACGGTAGCCCATGGCAACCCACTGCAGCAGGGGCTGCAGCCTACGCGTCGCTGGCGACTCATGGCAGCCCAGCTCCAGGTTGAGCTGCTGCTCGCCATCTTAGCTGTAGAGGGCAGTGTCACTGGCCCTCATGTGGGATCTGAACCAGGGCTCTCTGGCATCCCAAGCCAGCTCTTAACCAACGCGCCACTCGGCCGGCCCTACAAAAAATTTTAATTTAACAAAGATTTCATTCTCTATTAAATGCCCACTTTGTTCCTATGTTACATACATGCAGTAGAGCAAGAGGGCCATGGCTTATTTAAAAATTATGCAAACTTGGTTCACTTGCAGAATGGCATAAATCAGTATCAAAATGGCCTCCCTTCATGGTCTTGGCTTAGAGGTCATGATACAAGGAGGAGGGAGCCTCTGACTCATTTTTTCAAATGAATAGTTTAAAACCTATTATTTGTTTTAATGATACAGTGCAATTTTATTTATTTTTAAATAAAATTTATTGGGGTGACAATGGGATACAGTACAATTTTAAATACTGAGGGGGTAGTATTTTAATTCATGGAGTCATCCAGATGACCTGAAGTATTTAATTATCCTTTGCCCCTTAGGTTGATGAAGAAGACAAAGCAAGTGATGGAGAGAAAGAGCAAGATAGTGATGAGAGTGATACCGACTCTGATTAGACCACAGAGAGAATGATGCTCCCTCCCCATCTCTGCCAGCCTCTTACCATTTTGTGTTCAGGATTTGAAATCTGTCTGCCTTTCTCACTTGGAAGCATACTATTTTGTCCTTAAAGTGGGGGCTTTAATGGGGAATTTTGTAGATTATCTAACATCATCAAAGACCCTGATTCAGAATTCCAAGGTAGCATTACTTATCAGTTTGGACAGACATGGCAGTGCTACACGTCATGAGTCTGGGCTTTGAATTCATGTTAGAATTTAGGTTTGTATAATATCAGTTTTACAAATTCTGTTTTAAGCTCTGCCTCAGCTATCTCTTCCCTTTTTCTGGATTTCCTTTGTTAGTCAATGATTAGATGGAATTGCATTGGGTTTTGAGCAGAGAAATAATGAAGACTGGTGCCAACACATCAGTTCTACCAGTTAAAATCGTGTTCCCTATTGTAAGGACCATCTTTTTTTGAGATGAGAAGATTGTTTTGATCTTTTTGGAGGAGTGATAAAATTTGTCAATGCCCAAAGAAAGTCAAAAGGAACATTTTGGCTGCTTTAAAAATTTTTTTGGTTGTCATGTAGATATAAGACAGGGGGAAAGGTACTTTCAAACTCATGTTGACTTTGTATATGTAATGTTTATTTTATTTCCACATTCTGAGTTAAACCTGTAATCTAGTTACAATGATGCTACAAAATTACTTGTAGTTTATTAGAAATAGAACATTAGAAGTACACTTCAGCTAAAATGGGGAGCTCTCACGTCTTCTGCCAGAAAGCCTAGTTTCAGTGCTGCTACCAACTTCTTTCTTGCCAAGCTATAAATATTAATATGTTAATATTTCTATCCACTTTTGTATTTTCCAGTGGTATTAGGGTGTGGCTGATTAGGGTTTTTTTGTTGTTGTTTTGGTGGGGGAGGGGAGTTGTTTTTTGTTTTTAAAATTAATCCTTGAACCACATATAGGTTTTTGACCCCTTCATCCTCCTATATGTAAAAATACATATCTTTTTTGACTCCCCTGTTTCCATAATTCATTATGGTCTGAGGTATTTAAGTGAGTTCACACTAGACTCATTGGTTTATATGGTTTATTTAACGGTTCTTTATCACATGTACACGTCAGTGCTACTTTGACTCTTTTAAATGGTTGTTCAACTTTACAATGGAAATGTTCTCCCTTGCTCTGTCATTGGCCCTTTTTTGGAGGGGAAGGAAAGAAAGGGACTCTGGAATTGTCGCTGCTTGACAGAAAAACAGGATGGCTGGGGCAATGTCACAGTTTACATGGACAGGTTTCTGTAAGCTTCAGGCACATAGCACAGGGCACGGTGTGAGGAACGGGAATCAGATGAGGACCCTTTACTTGGAGTGTTGCAAGGCAAGGGTACACTTCTTGTATGTTGAATACAGCAAGAGGATAGAGCGCAGCATCTGCTTGCACATGGTCACTGTCATCTGAATCTGAGGCTCCTTAAGTCCAATGGGCCACTGGTGCTCCCGGCTGATGATTTTGCAAAAGGCTGACTTGTCTGAAACTCTGAAGGTCCCCGTCCACTTTGGCGGCTGAGCCGTGATGACCCTGCCAAAGACGGAATCCACTCCACTGAGGCGGACAGGCTGGGGCCTCCTAACCAGCCATTTCTTATTTTTCATGGTTTGGAGCTCTGATGTGTAGCAGGGTAACTTGGGACTCACCCCAGGTTCCAGGAATTGGCTGTCTAGAACTAGAGTGACCTCTTGAAAGCATAGCTGCACTTCAAGGTCAGAAGGGGTGTGTGGGAAGCAGGGGGAAGCCCTAAAGGGGTGCTTGGAAGAAGGTGTGGGTGTTGTATGCCGTAGCCATTGGAAGCTCTCGTCCAGTGGGGTCCATGGTGCCCAGAGCTGGTATCCTGCCATTGACAGTCCTAAAGGAGAGGAATCAAAACATGGAATTTCCCTGGCAGGGTTTTGGTGAGGGTACCGCTATTCAAATTCACATCTCTTTCTCTCATTATTGACTTTAACTTACTCTGTAGTTCCCATGAACAGATTCCAATAGATGTTAGGGTTACTAGTCATTCTATAAAGGTCAGTAGAGAATGGTAACAAGTATTGAATCTGGCAAGTGCTATGTGTACTAAAACTTTATTAAACCTTATTACAAACCTCTAAAGGTAGGCTTTAACCCGTTTTACATATGCGGAAATGGATCTGTCCTAAATGGGGTATCCCAGTTCACCATTATGACCTGTGCTGTGTTGATAACTACGAAAGACAGAATCTACACCTGAGGTTGTAGAAGCTGCTGGCACTTCATGATGAGACATTTGTGGTTAGAAGCTCAGAAAGGCCACATCTTACCAAATATTTGGGACTCTGAATCCCATGTACTTTACACGAGTGGTTCTTAAAGTTTGATCCTGGGACTAATGCAGTCAGGGTCCTCGAATCAGCCTATAGAATCAGAAATGGGGCATCAGCCTATAGAATCAGAAATGGGGTAGGGCCCTACAATCTGTACTTAAACCCTTTGGGGATTCTGAGTGCACTTAAGTTTGAGAGCTTATGCTGTTTCATTTAAGGAACTTCAGCTTTCACTATTCTTAATTATGGAGACAGTCTCCTCTTGGCCCTAAAAAACCTGTTTTCTGACACAAGGGAGCTGCTGTCTGAGCCCTGAACTACTTATGACCACCTCAGAGGAATTATACCAAGCTAGGAGGATAAAAAAGTTTCCAAAGGCCAGTCTTTAAAAATTTCTAAAGATTTTTCTGGTTCTTCTAGGTGTGTTTTGGTTTTTGTTATCCATGGGAGACCCACTGGTTAAGAACTTGTTTTTTTTTTTTCCCCCCTTTCAAGATAAAGGAAAGGGCTGGGAGGATGTTGTTAACTCAAAACGTATCCAAGTAGAATTTGGATTTTCTATTTTTCTACCTTAAAATTGCCAATATATAAAGGGTTTTCCTGAATTCAGGAGAAGCTAACATTTTTAACATTTAACATTTTTTGAGCATGTACCTATTATGTTAAGGGACATAGCAAATTCCTTTTCTTTCCAGCCAAGTTTATTTCTCTGCCCCTTCTCTCTTCTCCCACAAAAGGTAACAGCAGCAGATCTGATCCCATCCCATCCAGTAATTGCCAAAAAAATGCTGTGAAACATTGACACCTCCACCATAATTTGTGAGATAGTAAAGTTCACATTTTAAAAAGAATTGTTGGTGATATTTCAAACCAGACCTGCCCCTAAACAATGGTTAGTATAAAGGAGTTTGTTGATTTCCTCCAACTGGTGTGTTTCTCCTGACCTATGCAGGCCCTTTTGCATACTGTGTTCAATTATCTGGGCTGCCTTAGGATAAGAAACTGACACCCAAGGAATAGTTATCTATTCCAAACAGCCTATGAAGGGCTTCTGATGCTGGAGATCATGACCCTAAGAGCATCCATCCAAGATCAGGGTACATCACCATGGCAAGGTGGGTGGAGGGTGAGCATATGACCAAAAGAAGTATTTCATCCCAGCATCCTTTTCCTGGCTCACCTCCTAAGAGCAAATGGAGCCAGAGGTAAAAGGCTATGTCAAATCTCCAGCCTAAATATTCCACAGAACCAACATGGGATGAGAAGGGCTTCTGACCCCAGGTCTTTCCATCACTGTCACACAAGGTTTACATAAAGATGGTTCACCCCGCACTCCCACCACCCAGGAAGTCACCATCATCCACTCCCAGAGGGGTTGAACCTAGGAAGTGGGCTCAAGCTGCTCTAATAGCTTTCAGATAGGGAACACCTTGCTCTGGCCAAAAAGTCTTCCCCTTCATAAGGCTCCTTCCGTTTCTAGGAACCGGTCCCCCGATGTCCCCACCTGAGAAAGGGGAAGGCAGCGTCAAAGTGCAGCTGAGGTCTTGGTGAACTGTGAACTGTGATACCGAGGCGCTGAAACTGCCCGGAGTGTGGGACGCTTCCTCTCCCAGCTGGAAAAAGGGGTTATCCCCCGGGGTTCCCTAGCTGGGGGCGGGGGCCGCCCAGCTCAGGCCGAGGTGGAGGTGGCTGTGGGAGCCCAGGTCCAGTCCCACGGTCTGAGCTGGGAGCTCACCTGCCGAACTCCGCAGGCCGCACGCTCCAAAGTGGCGGCTGCTGTTCCCGGGCCGCATCTTTTCTCCACCGGGCGCCTGGCAACCGCCTTTGTGATCCATGACCGGGAGCCTGAGCCGCAGGGGGTGGGGGTGGGGGAGGGAGGCTTGAGGTGCGCAGCTGGGGGACGTCAGGACTGGACTCGTGGAACCACGTCCTTGGAACGCCAGGTTCAGGACTCAGCTTTCAGGAGTGAGGGTTTGAATTCCGTCCCCTTGTTCCTCTCCCTCCTCTCCACCGTGCCACACCTGTGTGCCTTTGATCTAATCTCAGAGGACCGGCACGCTGTGGTCAGGAACCTGCATAAAAGTCCCGGGACCTGTACGTAGTGTTAAAAGTCCTTATCAAACCCTGCTCAGTGGATTTTCAGACTGAGTTATCCAGAGTTTTGAAGGCTTTTGTTGCTGCATTGGAATGATCCCAGTGCAAGGAGACAGAATCTATAAATGCTTGTCTGTGAAGAGAATGACTCATGTCTTCCATTGACTTCCTGACTGAAAACCTTTCTCTGCCTTCTATTGAACCTCAAAAAAGATGATGCTGGCCCATTCTCACAAAGCTGAAAAACTGATCCTTTCCCTACAGTGTGAATGATCTGACAACTTTGTAAGCATCACTACAACAATTAACAATTATCCTGAATGGCTGAGGGCACACAGATCTACCCAGCTGACTCCTGTATTCCTGGTACCTGGCTATCTCAGTACCTGGCAGGGTACTAGAAGTACTTGGGGGAAGGAATTAATTAATGGCTTTCCCTTATACACCCAGAAGTCGCCCTTGCACTTTTTTTTTTTTTTTTTTTTTTTTTTTTTTTTTTTTTTTTTCGGATCTTTGGGGGGAATCTTCTGGTTCCTC